GCAGAGCATGTTAACTAGGGGCAAACGAAAGAAGGTAATTCGGTCAGCTGGGAAGAAGAAAGATTGTATCGGGTCGTGGTGTGCGTGACATGGTGACACCGCGGTCAACCAGCCGTACGAGAAGCATGAGGCATGCAAAAAGGTTGCGATGTAAAATATGTGTGAGAAAATTGAATGTAAGATGTCGAATAATTTGTCAAGAACGATAAGCTTTTGTTGAAGCCTTTGAGATGTCTAAAGGCGAAACAAACAGTTGCACTTTTAGATACAGAAGTAGGATGAATTCGATACTTAATTTGTTATTTGCATTACACCGCAGAGTTTAGACTGAATACAAGACTCTCATTTGATAGTTGCAAGCTTTAATTTGCAGGTCTAGCATAGCTGTAGATACATGAGAAAGCACGACCAAACTACTGATTTTTGAAATCGCGCCAGACACGTTCGGCTCGCTGGCGTTGGTCCCATCAGTGTCTTACTGATTGCATAGTTATCTAAAAGTTCAGAGGCCTCTGACTCTGAAGAACGTTTACCTATGCATAGTAAAAATTCGAAATCTTAAACGAAACAGACTTAACTTGCAGCATGTATACAATTTTACAGGTGTGTACCTAGAACTAGGGTAGATACGAAACACCTCTTTAAACACGTCCCTCCTATGTCAGAGTGTGCGACATGATACCGCCGCTTCTTCAGCTCTATTCAACTGGTCATCTTGAACATCTTGTCAGCTTTACGTGATTTGAGTGCTCATACGAACGCATTTTCTTGCGTCTACTTGAGATTCTCCTTAGTATATGAAGATGCAGCGATGATCTCGCATTGATCCACTCGACCCGTCAGCAGTAGATTTGTCCTCGGACTCTGAGCTCTTCTTCACCACTCTAATTTACTTAAGTTTCCTTTTCTCTTGTTATTTTTGTCCACATGCACTATTTGAAGACTCCGTACCGTGGATCGATTGCGGACACACCAGCCGTTTGGTTCTTGTTACAGTCTATATATTTCGTGTGTATAGACCCCGTCTCAGCTTTAGCGTCTATGCTGATAGAAATATGTTTGCGTCTCATGGCAATGGCGCAGGCATTCACACAAAATTATTTTTTCGCTATCGGGTCATATTGTCATCGCACACCTACGACCAATGCGCCACAGACAAGGAAAAAGACTAGCTGTTAAATAAATGTCCATAATCGTGTTTGCTATAGGAGCATCTTGGTCCGTAAGAGACTTTCGTTAAACAGCCGCAAGAAAACGTCGGAATTAGGTTTGAAACGTTTAGCTGTCTCATTTAATTCTATACTAAGATTATAAGGAATTGTCAAGCCGTTGTTATCTATTACAGCAAAAGGATCAAAGCATTTTTGCATATTATAGAGGATTTGGTTTAGTACAATCCAAATGACGTCGTTAAAGGCATCGTAAAGATTGCGCTCCACTATTGCATTTTAAAGATTGCTCGCCACAAATACATTGCAAATTTTGCTTGCCTAGACAGTACTGATAAAAAGCGCTAGTCACTTTACCGTCGATATTTGTGGTGTACTGAATAAATGTCTCACATTTTCAAAGTCATTTTGCAAAGTTTGCAATAAGGTGAACCACACCATGTTTCAAGTTAAATTGTCTGTATATGTCAGCGCAAAACTGCATTTACGCAATTCTACTGGATCTCAATTCTTTTTAATTCTTGAGCATTAAAAAGGGGTCATGCGTGAGTGTTGGAGGGAGATAATGTTACGTCTTCATCGACATCAGATTTTGGTAAGCTGGTAAGATCGGGACTTCTTTACTCTGAAGTAAAACGTAATTATGCTTATAAAATCAAACGCCGAAACAAACGACGCCCCAATTTCTCTTGACCGATACCTTGTCGTTGCCGCCTATTTTTCGACTGAGTTTGGCTCCACAAATTGGCACGTTTCGGGACATTCATTATCTTAACGTAACAATAATTCTCGTTTTTATTGCGTGTTGCTAATGCTCCAACCTTGTCTTCTTTGCACGTATGGTAAACTCTTTCTCTGTAAACTTGGCCAAATGGAATTAGCTCACCTTTTACGATTAAATGCCAAAAGAAATCTGCAGTTTCCACCAATATAAAACACCGATATTTAGATAAAATAGAATAATATTCAGACAAATCAACATAATATATGCTTGCTTCTATCACAGATATGGTGACATTTTGGTCTACATTGGTGCGATTTGGATTGTTTTGCGGCCCGTGATGAAGGTGTTCTTTTACTTTAACAAAGTAAATTACATATTACATAATTTTAGCGGGGTACGTATCGGTTGGCTATTGTGTTTCTCACGCGTTTCTATTATCGTACATTATCAACATTGATATGGGCGGGAAATTTAAAACGGCGGATGAAGGATGCTAAAGGAAAAGCCTGTGGAGAGCGGCTGGAAAGAGAAAGTATAAAGTTTGTGATGACTTACGATTCTAGTCGCACCACAGGCTTATGGTGATAACCCTCAGTTTGATATAACACCACAAGATTAGCAAAATTGTACGGCATGCATATGTGATCAGATATCACTCCACCTGTTTTAAAAGTCCATTTGTCGGTCAAAAGATAGTAAGAGTTATATAAATACCCCATTGAATGACACGAAATAAAAAACATGCCCTTGTAAAATTTACTTAATTATAAGATGGTACACACGTACCTATCTTGCGCTTTGATGAAGGGCTTAACCGAACATAAATAACATTTACACGATATATTCTGATTCTCATGAATTCCTAAAACAAATAATCCTTGACTACGATCCCGCGGATATAAACACGACGGATTGGGCTTACGTTATCCTATCGTATCATTGCTACATATTGCGAATACATGTTTGAATAGGGGGTTAGGCTATAATCAAGGTGCCGCTGGAAAAATTAGGTTGAAGCCTAGAGGGTATGTATGTCATTAACATCCAGAGGCACTACAGATTACTAACAGTTTACTATATAATAACACGTTAATTTGATCAGTAGCACATCGAAACAACGAAGAAGGTGGCGTAGCACCAAATACTACCAAGACAGGGTAGAATGACAAGTGCTTTTAGATACACGTCGAAAATCCTGCTGTAGTCCGTATTGTACGTTTATTACTGAGCGTATTCATTTGTGCAACTATGACATGTATGCTGAAGTGTGTCAACACATCGACCAAATTGATGTCTTTTGTGTGTTTTTAATATCTTTTCAACTCTGCGATTCCATCTTTCTGTCCTTTAAACGAGATTTTAATGGCACTGAAATGTCACCATCGGCATTGGTATAGCCTTGTCGAGAAGGTAAATAAGATTCAGCCAGGAAGATATATATTCAAAATAGTTTGTTTATAGTAAAAAAAGATGAAGTAACTATAACGAACGAGAAGGAAACGAATTCCTATTTCTTAACTAAACAACTACAACATTATCTCTGTACTAATAATAGAATCACAGAGCAGCAGTAACACCAAGGACACTAAGAACAGTATCAATGACAACGACAATAGCTACAACGAAACTAACATTAGCAGCAAGGGTATCAAGCGAAACAGTAAGAATTTAGTTGCTTACACCGATGACAGCAACGGCTACCGCCACCGCGTCGCACTAAATCGAGGCTAGATAGAATACAACAGCAGCTGAAACTAAAACAACATTACTATATAGTACATAGTTACATTTAATAGTAACAATAACAAAAACGATAGCAAAAACAATACTTTTAGTAACAACAACATCAGCAGCAATTATTTACATGTACGGCCGCTGCCGACGATACATATACGCGTTAAATTTAATGTATTTCCATGTGCGCCCGCAACCTGTGGCAGCGAGCGCAGCATACCCGCGGCAGAAGCCCCTACACGACCATACCTACTGGGCGAGGTTGTGCACGGCTATTCAAAAGAAGTTTTAGAAATTATTGTCAGTTTGATTTTATGTGTACCACAGTGATGAGAGTATACCAGATCAAGGGACATTTTTCATTGACTACCTGGGCCAAATTTTGTATTTAAGATCATCTAATGCACTTTCTTTTAATTTTTTCAATCGTGTAGGTATTTTTTTCCTCATTTATCAGGGGCATTTTAATCAAACAATTATCCAGGGCATCTTTCAGTTTCTAATTGTCTGAAGCTTTTTATAATCGCATGAATAAAAAGGGCATTGATTATAGGGAATTGCTAAATTCACACCCCTTTTCCTTAGGTTCACACCCTTCCTTCAAATCTTAAATTTAAAATCCCTATTTATTCTGAGATTTGCTTTCTGAAAAAGGTATTGCTCGATAATCTAGGCCATTTATCAGCAAGTAAGACGTAAAAAATACCTAAGATACTACTCACGCCTGTGGTCTAGCGCGTCCAGCGTTTACTGATAGGGCACCTGTTGTAAGTGCATGATGCACTGGATTCGACTCCAGAGATTCGACCCATGATAGGGTATGTCTAGAATGTTCTTTAGGGTTCTATGCATTATTATAGGTCGTACGGCAGCTAGACGTATGGATAGTTCTCACTTGTAGATTGACAAACCACTGATGAGGCCCCCGGCGGGGGGCCGAAACGCGTCTGGTGCGCGGTAATATACAAGTCATTTACTTTACTTAACTCTTACTTCTTACAGCACCACGCGATAACGTGCTTGCTCCTCCCGAGGTTGAGCATGCCAATTGGGAGCAACTTATGGATACTGTGCAGACGTTCGCACGTGGCCAAGGCTATGCTGTTACGATCAAAAGTCCGATTGCAGGAAAGCGCGTCTAACTTAAATGTGATCGGGGTGCCGTAAACGTAAAAAAGATTAGAAAAGAGCGTCACCCCTTAGGCATTTCCGTGTGAGCATTCACTTCCACCAGTTTGCCCTGCTCACGGTAAAATTCGGTCACGGGCTGCGTATGCTTGTGAAAATTCTCCAGATGCGAGCCAAGCGTGGCTTCATTGTCGTCCTCGTGCTAAATCAACTGCTCGTGGCTTCATTGTCGTCCTCGTGCTAAATCAACTGCTCGCGCGTAGTGTCGTCCTTTCCGTCCACATTCGGCGGAGCAAACTTGACATGGTTACTGCGGCCACTAGCCAAGTGAACGCGTTACCTGCAATGCGTATAACCAGCACTTTTTCCGGCACGTTAATGATCACCACAGCATCCACCGAGGTGTTTTTCTTCGTCAATATCTCGTCGAGCTGCACAGCACCACATGCAAAAAGAGGGAACTAGGGTCAGCCGCTGCGTTGCAATCTGGACACTCGTCTGTATCTCTTCTTGTTCTCACCTTTTTGGCCTGCACGACCGCTCGTGGAAAGTCTTCAAGAATAAAGGCACAACGGCATTCCGAACTCTTGATGGCGTCCTTAATGATACCGACGACAATCGCGTCGGTCACAAGTGCGCCCGACTCCATCGCGGCTTTGACCTTTTTACCCATGTTGATGCCAGCAGCTGCAGCAGCGCGCAAGATGTCGTTCGTAGCCAAGTGGCAGAGAAAGTACTCGTCTTTGTCCAACGGCGATTGCGTACCTTGTATATTTACAAATTTGAAGAAAGGGTATGAATCCAAGGAAAAGGGGTGTGAATTTAGCAATTCCCTAATTACATTCCCCGTAATTAATTCCGTTTGTTCGTGATTGCAATAAAAGCCGATCACTATATAGCAGCAAGTGACCCTGTTGCAATTAAAGACAATGATATCGGGGTCAGTGGTTTGTAAGACTGTTACAATTCTTTCGATTCATTTTGGAGCATACATGGCTTTGCTCGCGCGGCGTGCTCGCAAGCTGTAGTATTATTTTTCTTTTGCGGTACTGCATAGATGAAATTTATTTGTTTGCTTATCTGACCCTATTATATTTCAAACTGAGACTGCATTCAGAGCATACAAAAGGATATAATACTCGTAATGCACGAGTAGTGTAACGGGGTTACGCGCAATTACTAGACCGGCAAAGTTGTGTGTCCACAACAAGTAAAGATTGGGGGTCTGAGTGGTACAGTCTTGGTAGCACGTACAACAAAAACGCTTTTGGCGCGAACTACGGATTGAGATAATCGGTTTGCTGGACGTCTGTACTTTGAGTCTTAGACTGCCTCTGTTCAGGATCGCTTAGTAGCTCCGCTACAAGTAGACTATTAAGCTCGCGCGTGAACTAATAAAGCCATCACACGTAAAACCATGTCAAAACACGTCGACAGGTGCATTGCTTTTTACGTCGATTAGAGTTGCTGCAGCTGCCAACACAGCCGAAAGGTGCACTAGGAGACTGCACGCTCGCAAAAGTAAGATCTACATGTGTAGATGCTTGAGGAAAGCGCAATAAACTTAAGAAACTAGTACTCCTCTAAGATATAAAGTTTTTGGATCATTAATTGGATCTATTTGTCATTAATTGTAACGGGGTGAGACCGTTACATGTAATTTTTTTTTAACCTTTGATACTTGTAAATTCGAACTTGTCATAAAGGTTTTTAATTTTTGAAAAAATTACGATACGGAAGACCAGTCAGAAACACTCACCGATTGGCTTAAAGGTGTCATCATATTAGAAAGCTCTAGCCGCCCGATCAACGATGGACGTGTGAAGTAAGTGGTGGGCACGACTTTAGCGTACACTTTTGTCGATAAACATGATTAAGGTAGGACTAAACACGGGTACATGTCATTAGGACTTAATTGCTCACTACAGTTTTACTTTTACCAGCAACTAATCAGTTCCTAGTTGCTTTCCCTTCCTCTGCGTAGTTTGCAGAGGTAGCTAGGCACCACTCACGCTGCTGTCGGTGATAGTAGCTCTTCACTGGTTGGCCAGTGTGTTGCTCCGGTGCCCCGTTTCAAATAGGCGGTCGGTATGGGTGAATATTCAGCCTATGCATAAGCGTTACATCATTTTTAGAAGATTTTTCGATGGAGATAAACGGCTCCCGTTTTTTCGGGTAGTAGTTTTTTTTCATCCCGCCCTTAACTATCTTCACCCTTTAAAACCAAAACAGGGTGACTTTACAGCTAATGCATAAGCCATTTATTGCTACTATAATGAATGGTCCAACGCACCGCCATTCACACTATAACGCTGTAACTACCAAAGTGGTCTGCACGAATATTGATGGATTCTGATGGGTTCTTCGAAGTCAACTATCCGTCTGCAAAGAAAGCTCTTGAATTGCAAAGCGCGTACGCTGATTTTCACTTTCAATTTTCAGAGAAGACGACAAAAAGGGGAAATGCGCGCGACCGAGCGGAATCGTGCAAGTCTGTTGCTGCTGATCGAAAGAATAGTACAAAGCTCACAGGATGCGAGTTCAGACTTAACCAATGACAGATTTTCTCTGCAAGATGTGGTTGGTGACCTGAAACGAAGAAGAGTACATCCGTGACATGTCCAAATACCTCGATATGCGTTCGCGAGCTAAACGTTGAATAATCGAGCAACAAACCCAGCGCGTTTCGGATTGAGAGAGCAGGCGTGTGGCCAAAAGAGCAAATCACGTCCCCGACAGGAGTCTCCAGACGTGTGCAGTGTATTTTGGGACATCGACTATGCCAAAATAAAAATCACATAGTAATCGCTCCGACATTTATAATTTTTAACAAAAAAACAAACTTCACAAGGTACCTAAGGATGATTAAATAGATGTATGGCCGACATATGCGATCTTCAAAGAGCTGCAAGTATGATCTCGGCTTGACGCAAATGGCCAAATTTGCAGTTTGATGGCCGCGAGTTCTCAAAATATTGACCAGATACGTGCTCGTTATTAACTTCCTCGTTCTCATGATCATCGATCTTACAGCGGTCAAGTCTACCCTAACATGTTATGTATTTTATGGATGATCCGTACATCTGCAATTATGGGGCGCGTGACCATGTGCACCGCGCCGTGTTATGTAAATTGAAAACAACAATGTTTTGTTTTTTTGGGGGGGGTGAAAATAGTGAGTGTATGTAAAATGTCTTTACCTTTTTCTCTGTTTGAAATATGACTGAAGTGAATAGTTTATGACGTACAAGAGTCCAGACGTATGTGACCGTTTTCACAACCGTCTAGCTGTGCCAATGATAACTGCAGTTTTACCCTGTATGTCCGAACTAATAAACAAATGCAACATTTGTGCCAACATACATTCTAACCTTCTCTGGTGTATCATCACACGGAAAATGGTTTGAGCAGCGTCCCTCACTGTCCATATCCGAAGCGAAAAGACATTCATGAATCCAATTTTCCAACTCATGGACACATCGAAGTGCGGTCACGGTTACTACGGTAATGAGCGTTTGGGTGAAGTAGTGGTGGCAAGAGTGTTTGAACGACACGAACACCCACTAAAGGCGTGATTGTATTTTAATGCGTGGCGATATTTTTACGAGTATTTTGACAGAAGATGGATGTAAATTCGTCGCTCCTACATCTCTCGACTATGATTTTCTGGCTATTCGCTATTTCCGCTGGTGTTTTTAGTGGGTGCGTGCCTCTACGTATCTAATACACACTCTTACTTGAAATGCATAGATGCGGCAGTTACTGGAAGTATGGTGTTGCGTAAGGTTACAATGCCACACCGATGTGAATGAGCAGGCACGCACGACTATTTGCTTTGTGATGTCTAAAATGGATTGCTTCAGTAAACCGAACTTGTCCTCGTAATGGAATGTGCAAGTGGATAATGCTCTCCCAAAACTACTTGCCCTTTTACATGAACAGCAACGCCATTGTTGCCTAGAGTACGTACTTGAGTGAAGGATGTCGATTCAACAGGGCTACACTGCTGCTCAATAAGTGTATGGATCGTCAGGTGGTGACACCGTATGGAGCTAAATTTAACTTTTGAGTTTCGATTGTCGAAGAGTGATTAGATGTCATTGTGATCGATAACAGCACGGAAGGGGCACACAAGTTTCTGCAGATAATGATGATACAGGGATCCCACCCTATGCAATGGCCAGTCCAGCATCAAACCAAGTGATTTGGTTAATCCCCAACACAAAGTGAAGGTCGTTAAAATGTGTGCAACCACCTAAGTCTAAATGGTACCACCCGGAACCCTGGTACCATTGAGCTGTAGACTCTTGAAGAAGCATGAACCCCCGACAACGAATAATCGGGGGCCTCCGGGACTGGTTGGCACCCAAAAACCCGGCTAGTAACAGCCCGTCGCGCGGTACGATAGCCGCGATCCGGATCGGGATGTGTAGAGTACAGTAGCAGGTCATTAGAACACTTAAACGTACTGGCTGTACCCAAACTAAAAAAAGGTAAGCTGAAATGTTTCGACCGTCGAGGTACAATCAAATCGTAGGAATATTCTAGAATGATCATGAGTGATCGATGAGTCGTGATGTAACCCCTACAGATTTAGGGTTCTATGTGAAGACTGTTTCGTGTGGAGGCTGCTACAGATAGCAAAGCCACGTCACGTACTGCTGTCGCTTTTTTGACCACTTTCCGATTCAGACATTTACTTATGCAAGCCGGTATCGATAACTTTGGTTGTGAAAATCTGCTCTACCAATTGTGTCGGCAGGTAGCGTAACTGAATACAAAGCTATTCTCATAGCTATGCTAATATCGCCTTCTCTTCAAGCGGGCTTCCATCACGTTATTTTCCTTATCTTTTAGCAGCGGTGTCACTCGAAGCATACCCGCTAGTCACTTCACTCGTTGTCCGAGCAGGGACCAATGCTCCGCAGTAGGACACTATTCATAGATGAATATATGCTACGCCTCGAGGCGATCAGAAGGCTCATTTTGACCCAAAACGGAACGCGTGGGCTATCAAGTAGTCCTGTTGCGCCCAACGTCGAATGAAGGTGCAACGTGCTCGATTGGATGTGCAAGACTAACTCTGGACACAGTGTCTGAGAAAGGATCTGAAAGACTAGTAACACTAACGGCGAATCGTCACTAAAAATGTTGTCGCTGTTGATGACGTTGTTTTTTTCTAGTCTAGTGAACATGACACTGTTGGCACAGCAATCATTGCTAGCCTTAATGGCTTGATGGCCGGTCTGTCAACAGACCTCGACCACGTCGAGGATCCGCTCGGTTACAACTTCGCTCGACGCGAGCCTGTAGTGCGTGTGCGCTATCCCAATTGTCAGCATGTGGACGTCTTGTAGGTGAGCGGGGTTAAAGCACATACTGACACGCTGATGTACAATTCTCGCATGTGCGCTACGGGCGCGGTCAGTCCACCACATCTCGTGCACGCATGATCTGGTGCACTTGGTGTCGTCGAGACCAGAAGTACGAGCTCGAGTAGACGGCTGCAACGACTTCGACAGCGACAAAGTGGACATTTTCGAGGAGTGTCCACTTTGTGGAAAAGGACCAGTACGTGAGTCATCGGCGAGATCCCGTTTTGACTACCTTCGGTCCAGACTAATCACGAGATCGTCTGGTTGTGGTGGACACAACGACCTTTGTCAGCCTGTGCGGTAGCAATTTGTCCTAGGATTCAGCTGCACTGGCATCAGGATCAGTGATGGTGCAGATTGCACTTCAGTTTTGGACTCTTCGTTAAAAGGCGTATTGTCCTTCTCGGGGGACAAAAGCTCATAAAAAAGACAAAGACCACCCGAGACCACAATCTAAAAGTACAGTAGCATGCCTGGGACGCCCCCACTCCTCCCTTTCGAAGTGTCTTCCGCGACCTACTTCCGTCCGGAATGCAGCCATCCTCAGCTGTTCCAGACTGAGTACAAGAGGTAAATGGTGACGTTCACTGCGGTGCACATGTAGCGTCGTAACTAAGTGGAGCCACAAATTGTCAAAACAAAGTCGACTCTAACCACTCGAATCACCTTTTGCACTGTAGGAGTAATCGCACGAAGGGTTTAAAAATCCTCAGGTAAAACGACAACGCTTCGTTAGCGTAAATCGAACTATCAAGAATGAGAGAAATCGAGAGACTAATGCCATTCGCTCTGCTTGATTCTGAAGATGCTTCCCGCACTGCTGCCCTGAGCACATCGACCGCAGTTACTGCGGCACTTCTTTGAGTGTGCGCATAGAGTTATCGACCTGCCCATCTGCTGCATCGAAAGAGCCACCAAAGTGTGAGAACGTAGCCGTCTTTGCACGCTTCGAAGCTGTGAGCGACGTGAGCCTTCGACCCAGCGAGTGTGTCGAGGTCGACACGATGGTGGCTGGGACGCAGTCCGAAGACAACTTGGAGGGTCAGTGGGTGGCTGGTACACGCGATCGTCCGTCTGGACTAGTGACCACCCTTCGCGCTCCTGAGATGCCATCGGTCGACCATATCTCGCTCGTGTTCCACCTGAATGGCAAACCGTTTTCACGCTGGTACTATGACTGGGAGAGCGGTGCCAACAAGGCCCAGCGATTGATGAAACACGTCCTTAAGTCATACATCGTCGAGCATTGTGCTGTTGATGCGAACGACAATTTCGTGAGCCTTACGAGTCAGCAAGCTTGCAAGCAACTGTATCGAGTGCTTCACGTCGTGAAGTCACCAGAATTCACCGTCATTTCGTACCGTCGTGCACCTTCTGATCCCTACCAGACAGCACTCTTGCCGTCACATTCAATGTCAGGGGATGATATCCTAGCGTATGAAGGCACACAACTTTCGTACGCTTCAGTGACTGTGAAGGTAGAGCCTTCGCTCACACGGGCAGAACAAGCAATGCAAGATCGGTCGTTGGAGCTTCCACATGTACTTTCACCCTCGACGGAGGTACCTGGACGAAACAGTGAAGCCTTTGATTTGGAGTACTCAAATGTGGTCATCATGCCAGTGGCAAAAAATCTTGCACTAGTGTACTCGTTCGCCCGTTGGTTGCCTGTGAGCGCGTACTGTCAGATTTTTGACAAGTTTATTGAAGTGGCCCAACACAGCGTTCAAGAAGCATTTGTTGAAGCTACCGGGGAACTATGCAAACTCGACAGCCTCATACGGCTTCTATATGAACACGTCCAAAGTCATAAAGAAGATATGCTGCGTTGGATTCAGGATTCGCAACAGTTTGAAACACTGTTAGTTGTGCTGGTGCAGACTATGCAGTGGCTGATTTCGAGAGAAACACGAACCTGGATCCAGAATTATCTGCGTCAAAACGCCCAATCTATTCTAAACAAACGCACTTTGCGTGTATGTTTCGCGATCTTCATTCAGAAACTGCAGGATCGCTTAGACAAGGAAGTATTTGCACACACAAAATTGCGTAATCTTGAAAATGTTGCCGACGAAGTCATCGCAGCAGTCTACTCGAACTCGTACTTCCGGTCTCAACGGCATCAAGTGCGCCAGATCCTGAGTGCACAAGATGTAGTAGGCTGGGCCGCGTTCGTGGCACAGATGCGGGAAATGTACATCAGCGTGTCAGCACCTGCTCGGGCACCACGCTCACTGGCGAAACGTAAAGATCGTCGCAAATGTGATAGCTCGCACGGATTACCGAATTTCATCGAGATAAATTGGAATACCGAGTGGATCCTGGATGTGGATGAGGTCTGTTGGCAGCCGAGCCAACAGGATATCAAGGCTGGCAATGGTTGCTGTGGCAACAGTGATACGTTCGCTATACATGGAAACAATGACACCACCACCAACAATGATGAAGATTTGCCGTCAGTATTTACAATCTTCCAGCTCATTTCGCAGGTATTGCGTCTGGAGGTAGTCTTGGACATCCAAGCGAGCACGTTGCATCTCCGATCGACGCTGGGCGTAACAGGGCCACTTGATTGCATGCGCTTAGTTTTGGACGGTAAAGAACGTACATTTTCGCAGTTCCCAAACGGTGTCGCATCAGCTGTCAATACAGGAGCATATGGAGACTACATTGGCGAAATGAGGGTTGAAGGATCCAACCGACTCGTAACTTACCTGCAGTTGTTTACCTGGTCATTGTCAGACAATGACTCATCTTACAATGTTCGTATGCGAATCGAATGTTGGCGCAGCTGTCGGCTCTGCATTAGTGGCGACATTTTAGCAACCAATTTGCGTGGAACCCTTGCGGATGCAGAAGTAGCATTCTTCAGAGAAATGCCGTTGTGGAGGAAGCAGGAGGCCGTGCATAGAGCTCACGAAGCTAATGGACTGAAACAGAATTTAACCACAGGACCGTGGAAAGAGCTGGGGAATTTCCGTTTGAGCTACATGAAGCTTTAGACTACATAAAGAACAAGTTTGGGAGCAAAAATAATATGATTCCGATTGTGAAAATGCGCAACAACTATAATCTGCTCTCTTGACAGTCACATTGGTTGAATCAGACTATCAATACACGGAACCTGATTTTGAGAAGCGCTTGCTATTATTACACTTAAGCATTTGAACACTACCACGGGCACGTCTTTAGACGTATCTCAGAGCACATTTGTAGTGAACCCGGTTCAGTGGCAACTATCACTCGAATTTTTGGTTTGTATTAACAAGTTACCACTTCTCGTTTGTGTTTGAGTTTCAGTCTCTTCAACGAGTGTATAAGGAAACCCGTCACTTTAAGTTGTCATTCCTGCACCGTCTCTTGATTTATTTGGGATCCACAATTTTTATAGGAAACTACTAGTCTACCTGATGTTATAAGGTAATACTTTAGTGTCGTCGGAAACAGTGTCGAACGTCTAAAAAGAAAAGAATCCAGTACATTGTAAAGATCCCAAGTCAGGAGACTGTCAGGAATAATTACACACGTGCTTATCCTGCAATAATTCTCAACGTGATAAGCCATCGTTCCACTACGTGATCAAATCATAAATTCATCGATTTTCATATCTCGTCGGATAATCTTTGGTTGCGTAAAAATTCCGAACATAACTCCGAACAATGCTGTGCGAAAAAACACAGGAATCCATGGACAAAATCCATGCTGCTTCGATCCAAACAATCACCATACTCTTCAGATAAGAACCGTTCACCTTTCTTCAGTAAACCGAACTGATCTATCGGCTTCCATTCAAGTACAATAAAGCAATTAGCGTAGTGCTTCTCAATTCAAACACAACGTACCCTCTTAACTCCAATAAGCATAGGACATAGCATGACACATCTCGAATTCAGGAAACAACAAAACACTCCTGTCATCACAACGTAGCGCTGCAGCATGGACGGATAAAACATCGTGTGTAGGGTGCAGCGTGCCATGAAACAGGTCCAGCCATTTGTTGCAAGCAAATAGCGACAGTTCTTCATCAACAGTCGTTTCCAATCGACTGGTTCCGACGCTAGTCGAAGGTGAGCGATCGTGCTGGACTCTATTCATGACAACATCTGGGTTGCGAGCACCCCTCATTTCCAATCGTTCGACTTGTCTTCAGATGCGACGTTCAATGAACAGACGCCATTCGAGTCCACACGGATGATTCCAATTCGTCAGTTAGTACTCCGTTATCGTTCTTTGGTTGGTATTGTTCCATGACTTTCGCGGCAACATCTCGACACAAAGTCATCGGGACCACCGCTGATTCTCAGCGTGCAGTACGTGAAGCAAAGCGTATCATACCGCGACCACGACTCCGATACTACACGTCAATTCTGGCACTTTCGGCCAGAGACGACGTACCATGACCCTCAATCCTCAATCCGGTTGTCTTCTTTTCTTTCTCTCTTCCTTCTACCCCATTAATCTTTTCTCGAAAGCAGTATGACGAGCTCGTTGAACAAACACGCAAATGCGCCGACTAGATGGTTGGACACCACACACACATCCGAGAAGAAACGTTGATGTAAAAAAGAGCCAGCCGGGACGTTGAAGAGCCACGAACGTCATCGTCGTGCTTGCGTCTCAACGGGTCTATCCTCACATTCCGCTGACGACCTCATAGTTCACTGAGCGTACGTAGCTTCTGTTGTATAGCCTTGAAATCTGCTAGCACGCATGATTTCTCCTCGCGATACCGGATACTTTGGCGCGTTTCTCGTTCGTGCACGACAGTGATCACCCGGCTGCCATCATACTGCAGTTTAGATACGGCGTTGCACGTTTCACATTCGAGACATAATATAGCACCGTTGTCGTCAGTGGCATGCATCAAATTCGAAACACAACATTACACTGTTGTCGTCAGAAGTCTAAGATATAGCGTGGCACGTTCCACATTGGATACACAACCTAACACTCCTATCATCACCATGTGGAGCTGCAGCATGGATGGATAAAAGTTTGTGGGTAAAGTCCGTCATACCATGAATTAAATGGGCACGTCTGGCTGTTCGTTGCATGTAAGCAGCGACAGTTCTACATCGACAGTCGTCTCCGAATCGACTGCGTCCGACATTGATTTGTGGAGGGCATGTTCGTCTCTAGCAACGACAACAGAACAGTTGCGAGCACCCCTCATTTCCAATCGTTCGACTTGTCTTCAGATGCGACGTTCAATGAACAGACACCATTCGAGTCCACACGGATGATTCCAATTCGTCAGTTAGTACTCCGTTATCGTTCTTTGGTTGGTATTGTTCCATGACTTTCGCGGCAACATCTCGACACAAAGTCATCGGGACCACCGCTGATTCTCAGCGTGCAGTACGTGAAGCAAAGCGTATCATACCGCGACCACGACTCCGATACTGCACGTCAATTCTGGCACTTTCGGCCAGAGACGACGTACCATGACCCTCAATCCTCAATCCGGTTGTCTGCTTTCATTTCTCTCTTCCTTCCACCCCATTAATCTTTTCTCGAAAGCAGTATGACGAGCTCGTTGGACAAACACGCAAATGTGCCGACTAGATGGTTGGACACCACACACACATCCGAGAAGAAACGTTGATGTAAAAAGAGCCAGCCGGGACGTTGAAGAGCCACGAACGTCATCGTCGTGCTTGCGTCTCAACGGGTTTATCCTCACATTCCGCTGACGACCTCATAGTTCACTGAGCGTACGTTGCTTCTGTTGTATAGCCTTGATATCTGCTAGCACGCATGATTTCTCCTCGCGACACCGGATACTTTGGCGCGTTTCTCGTTCGTCCACGACAATGATCACCCGGCTGCCATCATACTGCAGCTTAGATACGGCGTTGCACGTTTCACATTCGAGACATAATATAGCACCGTTGTCGTCAGTGGCATGCATCAAATTCGAAACACAACATTACACTGTTGTCGTCAGAAGTCTATGATATAGCGTGGCACGTTCCACATTGGATACACAACCTAACACTCCTATCATCACCATGTGGAGCTGCAGCATGGATGGATAAAAGTTTGTGGGTAAAGTCCGTCATACCATGAATTAAATGGGCACGCCTGGCTGTTCGTTGCATGTAAGCAGCGACAGTTCTACATCGACAGTCGTCTCCGAATCGACTGCGTCCGACATTGATTTGTGGAGGGCATGTTCGTCTCTAGCAACGACAACAGAACAGTTGCGAGCACCCCTCATTTCCAATCGTTCGACTTGTCTTCAGATGCGACGTTCAATGAACAGACGCCATTCGAGTCCACACGGATGATTCCAATTCGTCAGTTAGTACTCCGTTATCGTTCTTTGAGTGGTATTGTTCCATGACTTTCGCTGCAACATCTCGACACAAAGTCATCGGGACCACCGCTGATTCTCAGCGTGCAGTACGTGAAGCAAAGCGTATCATACCGCGACCACGACTCCGATACTGCACGTCAATTCTGGCACTTTCGGCCAGAGACGACGTACCATGACCCTCAATCCTCAATCCGGTTGTCTTCTTTTCTTTCTCTCTTCCTTCTACCCCATTAATCTTTTCTCGAAAGCAGTATGACGAGCTCGTTGAACAAACACGCAAATGCGCCGACTAGATGGTTGGACACCACACACACATCCGAGAAGAAACGTTGATGTAAAAAAGAGCCAGCCGAGACGTTGAAGAGCCACGAACGTCATCGTCGTGCTTGCGTCTCAACGGGTTTATCCTCACATTCCGTTGACGACCTCATAGTTCACTGAGCGTACGTAGCTTCTGTTGTATAGCCTTGATATCTGCTAGCAAGCATGATTTCTCCTCGCGAGCACCAACTACTTCGGCGCGTTTCTCGTTCGTCCACGACAATGATCACCCGGCTGCCATCATACTGCAGTTTAGATACGGCATTGCACGTTTCACATTCGAGACATAATATAGCACCGTTGTCGTCAGTGGCATGCATCAAATTCGAAACACAACATTACACTGTTGTCGTCAGAAGTCTAAGATACAGCGTGGCACGTTCCACATTGGATACACAACCTAACACTCCTATCATCACCATGTGGAGCTGCAGCATGGATGGATAGAAGTTTGTGGGTAAAGTCCGTCATACCATGAGTTAAATGGGCACGTCTGGCTGTTCGTTGCATGTAAGCAGCGACAGTTCTACATCGACAGTCGTCTCCGAATCGACTGCGTCCGACATTGATTTGTGGAGGGCATGTTCGTCTCGAGCAACGACAACAGAACAGTTGCGAGCACTCCTCATTTTCCAATCGTTCGACTTGTCTTCAGATGCGACGTTCAATGAACAGACGCCATTCGAGTCCACACGGATGATTCCAGTTCGTCAGTTAGTACTCCGTTATCGTTCTTTGGTTGGTATTGTTCCATGACTTTCGCTGCAACATCTCGACACAAAGTCATCGGGACCACCGCTGATTTTTCAGTGTGCAGTACGTAAAGCAAAGCGTATCATACCGCGACCACGACTCCGATACTACACGTCAATTCTGGCACTTTCGGCCAGAGACGACGTACCATGACCCTCAATCCTCAATCCGGTTGTCTGCCTTCATTTCTCTCTTCCTTCCACCCCATTAATCTTTTCTCGGAAGCTGTATGACGAGCTCGTTGGACAAACACGCAAATGTGCCGACTAGATGGTTGGACACCACACACACATCCGAGAAGAAATATTGATGTAAAAAGGAGCCAGCCGGGACGTTGAAGAGCCACGAACGTCATCGTCGTGCTTGCGTCTCAACGGGTTTATCCTCACATTCCGCTGACGACCCCACTGTTGACTGTACGTAGGCTGCTTCTGTTGTATAGCCTTGATATCTGCTAGCACGCATGATTTCCCCTCGCGACACCGGATACTTTGGCGCGTTTCTCGTTCGTCCACGACAATGATCACCCGGCTGCCATCATACTGCAGTTTAGATACGGCGTGGCACGTTTCACATTCGAGACATAATATAGCACCGTTGTCGTCAGTGGCATGCATCAAATTCGAAACACAACATTACACTGTTGTCGTCAGAAGTCTAAGATATAGCGTGGCACGTTCCACATTGGATACACAACCTAACACTCCTATCATCACCATGTGGAGCTGCAGCATGGATGGATAGAAGTTTGTGGGTAAAGTCCGTCATACCATGAATTAAATGGGCACGTCTGGCTGTTCGTTGCATGTAAGCAGCGACAGTTCTACATCGACAGTCGTCTCCGAATCGACTGCGTCCGACATTGATTTGTGGAGGGCATGTTCGTCTCTAGCAACGACAACAGAACAGCTGCGAGCACCCCTCATTTCCAATCGTTCGACTTGTCGTCAGATGCGACGTTCAATGAACAGACGCCATTCGAGTCCACACGGACGATTCCAGTTCGTCAGTTAGTACTCCGTTATCGTTCTTTGGTTGGTATTGTTCCATGACTTTCGCGGCAACATCTCGACACAAAGTCATCGGGACCACCGCTGATTCTCAGCGTGCAGTACGTGAAGCAAAGCGTATCATACCGCGACCACGACTCCGATACTACACGTCAATTCTGGCACTTTCGGCCAGAGACGACGTACCATGACCCTCAATCCTCAATCCGGTTGTCTGCCTTCATTTCTCTCTTCCTTCCACCCCATTAATCTTTTCTCGGAAGCAGTATGACGAGCTCGTTGGACAAACACGCAAATGTGCCGACTAGATGGTTGGACACCACACGCACATCCGAGAAGAAACATTGACGTAAAAAAGAGCCAGCCGAGGCGTTGAAGAGTCACGGACATCATCGTCGTGCTTGCGTCTCAACGGGTTTATCCTCACATTCCGTTGACGACCTCATAGTTCACTGTGCGTAGGTTGCTTCTGTTGTATAGCCTTGATATCTACTAGCACGCATGATTTCTCCTCGCGACACCGGATACTTTGGCGCGTTTCTCGTTCGTCCACGACAATGATCACCCGGCTGCCATCATACTGCAGTTTAGATACGGCGTGGCACGTTTCACATTCGAGACATAATATAGCACCGTTGTCGTCAGTGGCATGCATCAAATTCGAAACACAACATTACACTGTTGTCGTCAGAAGTCTAAGATATAGCGTGGCACGTTCCACATTGGATACACAACCTAACACTCCTATCATCACCATGTGGAGCTGCAGCATGGATGGATAGAAGTTTGTGGGTAAAGTCCGTCATACCATGAATTAAATGGGCACGTCTGGCTGTTCGTTGCATGTAAGCAGCGACAGTTCTACATCGACAGTCGTCTCCGAATCGACTGCGTCCGACATTGATTTGTGGAGGGCATGTTCGTCTCTAGCAACGACAACAGAACAGTTGCGAGCACTCCTCATTTTCCAATCGTTCGACTTGTCTTCAGATGCGACGTTCAATGAACAGACGCCATTCGAGTCCACACGGACGATTCCAGTTCGTCAGTTAGTACTCCGTTATCGTTCTTTGGTTGGTATTGTTCCATGACTTTCGCTGCAACATCTCGACACAAAGTCATCGGGACCACCGCTGATTCTCAGCGTGCAGTACGTGAAGCAAAGCGTATCATACCGCGACCACGACTCCGATACTACACGTCAATTCTGGCACTTTCGGCCAGAGACGACGTACCATGACCCTCAATCCTCAATCCGGTTGTCTGCCTTCATTTCTCTCTTCCTTCCACCCCATTAATCTTTTCTCGGAAGCAGTATGACGAGCTCGTTGGACAAACACGCAAATGTGCCGACTAGATGGTTGGACACCACACGCACATCCGAGAAGAAACACTGACGTAAAAAAGAGCCAGCCGAGGCGTTGAAGAGTCACGGACATCATCGTCGTGCTTGCGTCTCAACGGGTTTATCCTCACATTCCGTTGACGACCTCATAGTTCACTGTGCGTAGGTTGCTTCTGTTGTATAGCCTTGATATCTACTAGCACGCATGATTTCTCCTCGCGACACCGGATACTTTGGCGCGTTTCTCGTTCGTCCACGACAATGATCACCCGGCTGCCATCATACTGCAGTTTAGATACGGCGTGGCACGTTTCACATTCGAGACATAATATAGCACCGTTGTCGTCAGTGGCATGCATCAAATTCGAAACACAACATTACACTGTTGTCGTCAGAAGTCTAAGATACAGCGTGGCACGTTCCACATTGGATACACAACCTAACACTCCTATCATCACCATGTGGAGCTGCAGCATGGATGGATAGAAGTTTGTGGGTAAAGTCCGTCATACCATGAATTAAATGGGCACGTCTGGCTGTTCGTTGCATGTAAGCAGCGACAGTTCTACATCGACAGTCGTCTCCGAATCGACTGCGTCCGACATTGATTTGTGGAGGGCATGTTCGTCTCTAGCAACGACAACAGAACAGTTGCGAGCACCCCTCATTTCCAATCGTTCGACTTGTCTTCAGATGCGACGTTCAATGAACAGACGCCATTCGAGTCCACACGGATGATTCCAATTCGTCAGTTAGTACTCCGTTATCGTTCTTTGGTTGGTATTGTTCCATGACTTTCGCGGCAACATCTCGACACAAAGTCATCGGGACCACCGCTGATTCTCAGCGTGCAGTACGTGAAGCAAAGCGTATCATACCGCGACCACGACTCCGATACTACACGTCAATTCTGGCACTTTCGGCCGGAGACGACGTACCATGACCCTCAATCCTCAATCCGGTTGTCTGCCTTCATTTCTCTCTTCCTTCCACCCCATTAATCTTTTCTCGGAAGCTGTATGACGAGCTCGTTGGACAAACACGCAAATGTGCCGACTAGATGGTTGGACACCACACACACATCCGAGAAGAAATATTGATGTAAAAAGGAGCCAGCCGGGACGTTGAAGAGCCACGAACGTCATCGTCGTGCTTGCGTCTCAACGGGTTTATCCTCACATTCCGCTGACGACCCCACTGTTGACTGTACGTAGGCTGCTTCTGTTGTATAGCCTTGATATCTACTAGCACGCATGATTTCTCCTCGCGACACCGGATACTTTGGCGCGTTTCTCGTTCGTCCACGACAATGATCACCCGGCTGCCATCATACTGCAGTTTAGATACGGCGTGGCACGTTTCACATTCGAGACATAATATAGCACCGTTGTCGTCAGTGGCATGCATCAAATTCGAAACACAACATTACACTGTTGTCGTCAGAAGTCTAAGATATAGCGTGGCACGTTCCACATTGGATACACAACCTAACACTCCTATCATCACCATGTGGAGCTGCAGCATGGATGGATAGAAGTTTGTGGGTAAAGTCCGTCATACCATGAATTAAATGGGCACGTCTGGCTGTTCGTTGCATGTAAGCAGCGACAGTTCTACATCGACAGTCGTCTCCGAATCGACTGCGTCCGACATTGATTTGTGGAGGGCATGTTCGTCTCTAGCAACGACAACAGAACAGCTGCGAGCACCCCTCATTTCCAATCGTTCGACTTGTCGTCAGATGCGCAGTCCAATGAACAGACGCCATTCGAGTCCACCAGGACGATTCCAGTTCGTCAGTTAGTACTCCGTTATCGTTCTTTGGTTGGTATTGTTCCATGACTTTCGCGGCAACATCTCGACACAAAGTCATCGGGACCACCGCTGATTCTCAGTGTGCAGTACGTGAAGCAAAGCGTATCATACCGCGACCACGACTCCGATACTACACGTCAATTCTGGCACTTTCGGCCAGAGACGACGTACCATGACCCTCAATCCTCAATCCGGTTGTCTGCCTTCATTTCTCTCTTCCTTCCACCCCATTAATCTTTTCTCGGAAGCAGTATGACGAGCTCGTTGGACAAACACGCAAATGTGCCGACTAGATGGTTGGACACCACACGCACATCCGAGAAGAAACACTGACGTAAAAAAGAGCCAGCCGAGGCGTTGAAGAGTCACGGACATCATCGTCGTGCTTGCGTCTCAACGGGTTTATCCTCACATTCCGTTGACGACCTCATAGTTCACTGTGCGTAGGTTGCTTCTGTTGTATAGCCTTGATATCTACTAGCACGCATGATTTCTCCTCGCGACACCGGATACTTTGGCGCGTTTCTCGTTCGTCCACGACAATGATCACCCGGCTGCCATCATACTGCAGTTTAGATACGGCGTGGCACGTTTCACATTCGAGACATAATATAGCACCGTTGTCGTCAGTGGCATGCATCAAATTCGAAACACAACATTACACTGTTGTCGTCAGAAGTCTAAGATACAGCGTGGCACGTTCCACATTGGATACACAACCTAACACTCCTATCATCACCATGTGGAGCTGCAGCATGGATGGATAGAAGTTTGTGGGTAAAGTCCGTCATACCATGAATTAAATGGGCACGTCTGGCTGTTCGTTGCATGTAAGCAGCGACAGTTCTACATCGACAGTCGTCTCCGAATCGACTGCGTCCGACATTGATTTGTGGAGGGCATGTTCGTCTCTAGCAACGACAACAGAACAGTTGCGAGCACCCCTCATTTCCAATCGTTCGACTTGTCTTCAGATGCGACGTTCAATGAACAGACGCCATTCGAGTCCACACGGATGATTCCAATTCGTCAGTTAGTACTCCGTTATCGTTCTTTGGTTGGTATTGTTCCATGACTTTCGCTGCAACATCTCGACACAAAGTCATCGGGACCACCGCTGATTTTTCAGTGTGCAGTACGTGAAGCAAAGCGTATCATACCGCGACCACGACTCCGATACTACACGTCAATTCTGGCACTTTCGGCCAGAGACGACGTACCATGACCCTCAATCCTCAATCCGGTTGTCTGCCTTCATTTCTCTCTTCCTTCCACCCCATTAATCTTTTCTCGGAAGCTGTATGACGAGCTCGTTGGACAAACACGCAAATGTGCCGACTAGATGGTTGGACACCACACACACATCCGAGAAGAAATATTGATGTAAAAAGGAGCCAGCCGGGACGTTGAAGAGCCACGAACGTCATCGTCGTGCTTGCGTCTCAACGGGTTTATCCTCACATTCCGCTGACGACCCCACTGTTGACTGTACGTAGGCTGCTTCTGTTGTATAGCCTTGATATCTACTAGCACGCATGATTTCTCCTCGCGACACCGGATACTTTGGCGCGTTTCTCGTTCGTCCACGACAATGATCACCCGGCTGCCATCATACTGCAGTTTAGATACGGCGTGGCACGTTTCACATTCGAGACATAATATAGCACCGTTGTCGTCAGTGGCATGCATCAAATTCGAAACACAACATTACACTGTTGTCGTCAGAAGTCTAAGATATAGCGTGGCACGTTCCACATTGGATACACAACCTAACACTCCTATCATCACCATGTGGAGCTGCAGCATGGATGGATAGAAGTTTGTGGGTAAAGTCCGTCATACCATGAATTAAATGGGCACGTCTGGCTGTTCGTTGCATGTAAGCAGCGACAGTTCTACATCGACAGTCGTCTCCGAATCGACTGCGTCCGACATTGATTTGTGGAGGGCATGTTCGTCTCTAGCAACGACAACAGAACAGCTGCGAGCACCCCTCATTTCCAATCGTTCGACTTGTCGTCAGATGCGCAGTCCAATGAACAGACGCCATTCGAGTCCACACGGACGATTCCAGTTCGTCAGTTAGTACTCCGTTATCGTTCTTTGGTTGGTATTGTTCCATGACTTTCGCTGCAACATCTCGACACAAAGTCATCGGGACCACCGCTGATTCTCAGCGTGCAGTACGTGAAGCAAAGCGTATCATACCGCGACCACGACTCCGATACTACACGTCAATTCTGGCACTTTCGGCCGGAGACGACGTACCATGACCCTCAATCCTCAATCCGGTTGTCTGCCTTCATTTCTCTCTTCCTTCCACCCCATTAATCTTTTCTCGGAAGCAGTATGACGAGCTCGTTTGGACAAACACGCAAATGTGCCGACTAGATGGTTGGACACCACACACACATCCGAGAAGAAATATTGATGTAAAAAGAGCCAGCCGGGACGTTGAAGAGTCACGGACATCATCGTCGTGCTTGCGTCTCAACGGGTTTATCCTCACATTCCGCTGACGACCTCATAGTTCACTGTACGTAGGCTGCTTCTGTTGTATAGCCTTGATATCTACTAGCACGCATGATTTCTCCTCGCGACACCGGATACTTTGGCGCGTTTCTCGTTCGTCCACGACAATGATCACCCGGCTGCCATCATACTGCAGTTTAGATACGGCGTGGCACGTTTCACATTCGAGACATAATATAGCACCGTTGTCGTCAGTGGCATGCATCAAATTCGAAACACAACATTACACTGTTGTCGTCAGAAGTCTAAGATATAGCGTGGCACGTTCCACATTGGATACACAACCTAACACTCCTATCATCACCATGTGGAGCTGCAGCATGGATGGATAGAAGTTTGTGGGTAAAGTCCGTCATACCATGAATTAAATGGGCACGTCTGGCTGTTCGTTGCATGTAAGCAGCGACAGTTCTACATCGACAGTCGTCTCCGAATCGACTGCGTCCGACATTGATTTGTGGAGGGCATGTTCGTCTCTAGCAACGACAACAGAACAGTTGCGAGCACCCCTCATTTCCAATCGTTCGACTTGTCTTCAGATGCGACGTTCAATGAACAGACGCCATTCGAGTCCACACGGATGATTCCAATTCGTCAGTTAGTACTCCGTTATCGTTCTTTGGTTGGTATTGTTCCATGACTTTCGCGGCAACATCTCGACACAAAGTCATCGGGACCACCGCTGATTTTTCAGTGTGCAGTACGTGAAGCAAAGCGTATCATACCGCGACCACGACTCCGATACTACACGTCAATTCTGGCACTTTCGGCCGGAGACGACGTACCATGACCCTCAATCCTCAATCCGGTTGTCTGCCTTCATTTCTCTCTTCCTTCCACCCCATTAATCTTTTCTCGGAAGCAGTATGACGAGCTCGTTTGGACAAACACGCAAATGTGCCGACTAGATGGTTGGACACCACACACACATCCGAGAAGAAATATTGATGTAAAAAAGAGCCAGCCGGGGCGTTGAAGAGTCACGAACGTCATCGTCGTGCTTGCGTCTCAACGGGTTTATCCTCACATTCCGTTGACGACCCCATTGTTCACTGTACGTAGGCTGCTTCTGTTGTATAGCCTTGATATCTGCTAGCAAGCATGATTTCTCCTCGCGACACCGGATACTTTGGCGCGTTTCTCGTTCGTCCACGACAATGATCACCCGGCTGCCATCATACTGCAGTTTAGATACGGCGTGGCACGTTTCACATTCGAGACATAATATAGCACCGTTGTCGTCAGTGGCATGCATCAAATTCGAAACACAACATTACACTGTTGTCGTCAGAAGTCTAAGATATAGCGTGGCACGTTCCACATTGGATACACAACCTAACACTCCTATCATCACCATGTGGAGCTGCAGCATGGATGGATAGAAGTTTGTGGGTAAAGTCCGTCATACCATGAATTAAATGGGCACGTCTGGCTGTTCGTTGCATGTAAGCAGCGACAGTTCTACATCGACAGTCGTCTCCGAATCGACTGCGTCCGACATTGATTTGTGGAGGGCATGTTCGTCTCTAGCAACGACAACAGAACAGTTGCGAGCACCCCTCATTTCCAATCGTTCGACTTGTCTTCAGATGCGACGTTCAATGAACAGACGCCATTCGAGTCCACACGGATGATTCCAATTCGTCAGTTAGTACTCCGTTATCGTTCTTTGGTTGGTATTGTTCCATGACTTTCGCGGCAACATCTCGACACAAAGTCATCGGGACCACCGCTGATTCTCAGCGTGCAGTACGTGAAGCAAAGCGTATCATACCGCGACCACGACTCCGATACTACACGTCAATTCTGGCACTTTCGGCCGGAGACGACGTACCATGACCCTCAATCCTCAATCCGGTTGTCTGCCTTCATTTCTCTCTTCCTTCCACCCCATTAATCTTTTCTCGGAAGCAGTATGACGAGCTCGTTTGGACAAACACGCAAATGTGCCGACTAGATGGTTGGACACCACACACACATCCGAGAAGAAATATTGATGTAAAAAAGAGCCAGCCGGGACGTTGAAGAGCCACGAACGTCATCGTCGTGCTTGCGTCTCAACGGGTTTATCCTCACATTCCGCTGACGACCCCATTGTTCACTGTACGTAGGCTGCTTCTGTTGTATAGCCTTGATATCTGCTAGCAAGCATGATTTCTCCTCGCGACACCGGATACTTTGGCGCGTTTCTCGTTCGTCCACGACAATGATCACCCGGCTGCCATCATACTGCAGTTTAGATACGGCGTGGCACGTTTCACATTCGAGACATAATATAGCACCGTTGTCGTCAGTGGCATGCATCAAATTCGAAACACAACATTACACTGTTGTCGTCAGAAGTCTAAGATATAGCGTGGCACGTTCCACATTGGATACACAACCTAACACTCCTATCATCACCATGTGGAGCTGCAGCATGGATGGATAGAAGTTTGTGGGTAAAGTCCGTCATACCATGAATTAAATGGGCACGTCTGGCTGTTCGTTGCATGTAAGCAGCGACAGTTCTACATCGACAGTCGTCTCCGAATCGACTGCGTCCGACATTGATTAATGGAGGGCATGTTCGTCTCTAGCAACGACAACAGAACAGTTGCGAGCACCCCTCATTTCCAATCGTTCGACTTGTCTTCAGATGCGACGTTCAATGAACAGACACCATTCGAGTCCACACGGATGATTCCAATTCGTCAGTTAGTACTCCGTTATCGTTCTTTGGCTGGTATTGTTCCATGACTTTCGCTGCAACATCTCGACACAAAGTCATCGGGACCACCGCTGATTTTTCAGTGTGCAGTACGTGAAGCAAAGCGTATCATACCGCGACCACGACTCCGATACTACACGTCAATTCTGGCACTTTCGGCCGGAGACGACGTACCATGACCCTCAATCCTCAATCCGGTTGTCTGCCTTCATTTCTCTCTTCCTTCCACCCCATTAATCTTTTCTCGGAAGCAGTATGACGAGCTCGTTTGGACAAATACGCAAATGTGCCGACTAGATGGTTGGACACCACACGCACATCCGAGAAGAAACGTTGACGTAAAAAAGAGCCAGCCGAGGCGTTGAAGAGTCACGGACATCATCGTCGTGCTTGCGTCTCAACGGGTCTATCCTCACATTCCGTTGACGACCCCATTGTTCACCGTACGTACGTAGCTTCTGTTGTATAGCCTTGATATCTGCTAGCAAGCATGATTTCTCCTCGCAACACCGACTACTTCGGCACGTTTCTCGTTCGTCCACGACAATGATCACCCGGCTGCCATCATACTGCAGTTTAGATACGGCGTGGCACGTTTCACATTCGAGACATAATATAGCACCGTTGTCGTCAGTGGCATGCATCAAATTCGAAGCACAACATTACACTGTTGTCGTCAGAAGTCTAAGATATAGCGTGGCACGTTCCACATTGGATACACAACCTAACACTCCTATCATCACCATGTGGAGCTGCAGCATGGATGGATAAAAGTTTGTGGGTAAAGTCCGTCATACCATGAATTAAATGGGCACGTCTGGCTGTTCGTTGCATGTAAGCAGCGACAGTTCTACATCGACAGTCGTCTCCGAATCGACTGCGTCCGACATTGATTAATGGAGGGCATGTTCGTCTCTAGCAACGACAACAGAACAGTTGCGAGCACCCCCTCATTTCCAATCGTTCGACTTGTCTTCAGATGCGACGTTCAATGAACAGACACCATTCGAGTCCACACGGATGATTCCAATTCGTCAGTTAGTACTCCGTTATCGTTCTTTGGTTGGTATTGTTCCATGACTTTCGCTGCAACATCTCGACACAAAGTCATCGGGACCACCGCTGATTTTTCAGTGTGCAGTACGTGAAGCAAAGCGTATCATACCGCGACCACGACTCCGATACTACACGTCAATTCTGGCACTTTCGGCCGAAGACGACGTACCATGACCCTCAATCCGGTTGTCTGCCTTCATTTCTCTCTTTCTTCCACCCCATTAATCTTTTCTCGGAAGCTGTATGACGAGCTCGTTTGGACAAATACGCAAATGTGCCGACTAGATGGTTGGACACCACACGCACATCCGAGAAGAAACACTGACGTAAAAAAGAGCCAGCCGAGGCGTTGAAGAGTCACGGACATCATCGTCGTGCTTGCGTCTCAACGGGTCTATCCTCACATTCCGTTGACGACCCCATTGTTCACTGTACGTACGTAGCTTCTGTTGTATAGCCTTGATATCTGCTAGCAAGCATGATTTCTCCTCGCGACACCAACTACTTCGGCACGTTTCTCGTTCGTCCACGACAATGATCACCCGGCTGCCATCATACTGCAGTTTAGATACGGCGTGGCACGTTTCACATTCGAGACATAATATAGCACCGTTGTCGTCAGTGGATGCATCAAATTCGAAACAAACATTACACTGTTGTCGTCAGAAGTCTAAGATATAGCGTGGCACGTTCCACATTGGATACACAACCTAACACTCCTATCATCACCATGTGGAGCTGCAGCATGGATGGATAAAAGTTTGTGGGTAAAGTCCGTCATACCATGAATTAAATGGGCACGTCTGGCTGTTCGTTGCATGTAAGCAGCGACAGTTCTACATCGACAGTCGTCTCCGAATCGACTGCGTCCGACATTGATTAATGGAGGGCATGTTCGTCTCTAGCAACGACAACAGAACAGTTGCGAGCACCCCTCATTTCCAATCGTTCGACTTGTCTTCAGATGCGACGTTCAATGAACAGACACCATTCGAGTCCACACGGATGATTCCAATTCGTCAGTTAGTACTCCGTTATCGTTCTTTGGTTGGTATTGTTCCATGACTTTCGCTGCAACATCTCGACACAAAGTCATCGGGACCACCGCTGATTTTTCAGTGTGCAGTACGTGAAGCAAAGCGTATCATACCGCGACCACGACTCCGATACTACACGTCAATTCTGGCACTTTCGGCCGAAGACGACGTACCATGACCCTCAATCCTCAATCCGGTTGTCTGCCTTCATTTCTCTCTTTCTTCCACCCCATTAATCTTTTCTCGGAAGCTGTATGACGAGCTCGTTTGGACAAATACGCAAATGTGCCGACTAGATGGTTGGACACCACACGCACATCCGAGAAGAAACATTGATGTAAAAAAGAGCCAGCCGAGGCGTTGAAGAGTCACGAACATCATCGTCGTGCTTGCGTCTCAACGGGTTTGTCCTCACATTCCGTTGACGACCCCATTGTTCACTGTACGTACGTAGCTTCTGTTGCATAGCCTTGATATCTGCTAGCAAGCATGATTTCTCCTCGCAACACCGACTACTTCGGCACGTTTCTCGTTCGTCCACGACAATGATCACCCGGCTGCCATCATACTGCAGTTTAGATACGGCGTGGCACGTTTCACATTCGAGACATAATATAGCACCGTTGTCGTCAGTGGCATGCATCAAATTCGAAACACAACATTACACTGTTGTCGTCAGAAGTCTAAGATATAGCGTGGCACGTTCCACATTGGATACACGACCTAACACTCATATCATCACCATGTGGAGCTGCAGCATGGATGGATAAAAGTTTGTGGGTAAAGTCCGTCATACCATGAATTAAATGGGCACGTCTGGCTGTTCGTTGCATGTAAGCAGCGACAGTTCTACATCGACAGTCGTCTCCGAATCGAGTGCGTCCGACATTGATTTATGGAGGGCATGTTCGTCTCTAGCAACGACAACAGAACAGTTGCGAGCACCCCTCATTTCCAATCGTTCGACTTGTCTTCAGATGCGACGTTCAATGAACAGACGCCATTCGAGTCCACACGGATGATTCCAATTCGTCAGTTAGTACTCCGTTATCGTTCTTTGGTTGGTATTGTTCCATGACTTTCGCTGCAACATCTCGACACAAAGTCATCGGGACCACCGCTGATTTTTCAGTGTGCAGTACGTGAAGCAAAGCGTATCATACCGCGACCACGACTCCGATACTACACGTCAATTCTGGCACTTTCGGCCGAAGACGACGTACCATGACCCTCAATCCTCAATCCGGTTGTCTGCCTTCATTTCTCTCTTTCTTCCACCCCATTAATCTTTTCTCGGAAGCTGTATGACGAGCTCGTTTGGACAAATACGCAAATGTGCCGACTAGATGGTTGGACACCACACGCACATCCGAGAAGAAACATTGATGTAAAAAAGAGCCAGCCGAGGCGTTGAAGAGTCACGAACATCATCGTCGTGCTTGCGTCTCAACGGGTTTGTCCTCACATTCCGTTGACGACCCCATTGTTCACTGTACGTACGTAGCTTCTGTTGCATAGCCTTGATATCTGCTAGCAAGCATGATTTCTCCTCGCAACACCGACTACTTCGGCACGTTTCTCGTTCGTCCACGACAATGATCACCCCGCTGCCATCATACTGCAGCGTAAGATACGGCGTGGCACATTTTATTGAGACACGATGTACCACTCTTGCTATCAGAAAGTCTAAGATATAGCGTGGCACGTTCCACATTGGATACACAACAAAACACTCCTATCATCACCATGTGGAGCTGCAGCATGGATGGATAAAAGTTTGTGGGTAACGTCCGTCATACCATGAATTAAATGGGCACGTCTGGCTGTTCGTTGCATGTAAGCAGCGACAGTTCTACATCGACAGTCGTCTCCGAATCGACTGCGTCCGACATTGATTTATGGAGGGCATGTTCGTCTCTAGCAACGACAACAGAACAGTTGCGAGCACCCCTCATTTCCAATCGTTCGACTTGTCTTCAGATGCGACGTTCAATGAACAGACACCATTCGAGTCCACACGGATGATTCCAATTCGTCAGTTAGTACTCCGTTATCGTTCTTTGGTTGGTATTGTTCCATGACTTTCGCTGCAACATCTCGACACAAAGTCATCGGGACCACCGCTGATTTTTCAGTGTGCAGTACGTGAAGCAAAGCGTATCATACCGCGACCACGACTCCGATACTACACGTCAATTCTGGCACTTTCGGCCGAAGACGACGTACCATGACCCTCAATCCTCAATCCGGTTGTCTGCCTTCATTTCTCTCTTTCTTCCACCCCATTAATCTTTTCTCGGAAGCTGTATGACGAGCTCGTTTGGACAAATACGCAAATGTGCCGACTAGATGGTTGGACACCACACGCACATCCGAGAAGAAACATTGATGTAAAAAGGAGCCAGCCGAGGCGTTGAAGAGTCACGAACATCATCGTCGTGCTTGCGTCTCAACGGGTTTGTCCTCACATTCCGTTGACGACCCCATTGTTCACTGTACGTACGTAGCTTCTGTTGCATAGCCTTGATATCTGCTAGCAAGCATGATTTCTCCTCGCAACACCGACTACTTCGGCACGTTTCTCGTTCGTCCACGACAATGATCACCCCGCTGCCATCATACTGCAGCGTAAGATCCAGCGTGGCACATTTTATTGAGACACGATGTACCACTCTTGCTATCAGAAAGTCTAAGATATAGCGTGGCACGTTCCACATTGGATACACAACCTAACACTCCTATCATCACCATGTGGAGCTGCAGCATGGATGGATAAAAGTTTGTGGGTAAAGTCCGTCATACCATGAATTAAATGGGCACGTCTGGCTGTTCGTTGCATGTAAGCAGCGACAGTTCTACATCGACAGTCGTCTCCGAATCGACTGCGTCCGACATTGATTTATGGAGGGCATGTTCGTCTCTAGCAACGACAACAGAACAGTTGCGAGCACCCCTCATTTCCAATCGTTCGACTTGTCTTCAGATGCGACGTTCAATGAACAGACGCCATTCGAGTCCACACGGATGATTCCAATTCGTCAGTTAGTACTCCGTTATCGTTCTTTGGTTGGTATTGTTCCATGACTTTCGCTGCAACATCTCGACACAAAGTCATCGGGACCACCGCTGATTTTTCAGTGTGCAGTACGTGAAGCAAAGCGTATCATACCGCGACCACGACTCCGATACTACACGTCAATTCTGGCACTTTCGGCCGAAGACGACGTACCATGACCCTCAATCCGGTTGTCTGCCTTCATTTCTCTCTTTCTTCCACCCCATTAATCTTTTCTCGGAAGCTGTATGACGAGCTCGTTTGGACAAATACGCAAATGTGCCGACTAGATGGTTGGACACCACACGCACATCCGAGAAGAAACGTTGACGTAAAAAAGAGCCAGCCGAGGCGTTGAAGAGTCACGGACATCATCGTCGTGCTTGCGTCTCAACGGGTCTATCCTCACATTCCGTTGACGACCCCATTGTTCACTGTACGTACGTAGCTTCTGTTGTATAGCCTTGATATCTGCTAGCAAGCATGATTTCTCCTCGCAACACCGACTACTTCGGCACGTTTCTCGTTCGTCCACGACAATGATCACCCGGCTGCCATCATACTGCAGTTTAGATACGGCGTGGCACATTTTATTGAGACACGATGTACCACTCTTGCTATCAGAAAGTCTAAGATATAGCGTGGCACGTTCCACATTGGATACACAACCTAACACTCCTATCATCACCATGTGGAGCTGCAGCATGGATGGATAAAAGTTTGTGGGTAAAGTCCGTCATACCATGAATTAAATGGGCACGTCTGGCTGTTCGTTGCATGTAAGCAGCGACAGTTCTACATCGACAGTCGTCTCCGAATCGACTGCGTCCGACATTGATTAATGGAGGGCATGTTCGTCTCTAGCAACGACAACAGAACAGTTGCGAGCACCCCTCATTTCCAATCGTTCGACTTGTCTTCAGATGCGACGTTCAATGAACAGACACCATTCGAGTCCACACGGATGATTCCAATTCGTCAGTTAGTACTCCGTTATCGTTCTTTGGTTGGTATTGTTCCATGACTTTCGCTGCAACATCTCGACACAAAGTCATCGGGACCACCGCTGATTTTTCAGTGTGCAGTACGTGAAGCAAAGCGTATCATACCGCGACCACGACTCCGATACTACACGTCAATTCTGGCACTTTCGGCCGAAGACGACGTACCATGACCCTCAATCCTCAATCCGGTTGTCTGCCTTCATTTCTCTCTTTCTTCCACCCCATTAATCTTTTCTCGGAAGCTGTATGACGAGCTCGTTTGGACAAATACGCAAATGTGCCGACTAGATGGTTGGACACCACACGCACATCCGAGAAGAAACGTTGATGTAAAAAAGAGCCAGCCGAGGCGTTGAAGAGTCACGGACATCATCGTCGTGCTTGCGTCTCAACGGGTCTATCCTCACATTCCGTTGACGACCCCATTGTTCACTGTACGTACGTAGCTTCTGTTGCATAGCCTTGATATCTGCTAGCAAGCATGATTTCTCCTCGCAACACCGACTACTTCGGCACGTTTCTCGTTCGTCCACGACAATGATCACCCCGCTGCCATCATACTGCAGCGTAAGATCCAGCGTGGCACATTTTATTGAGACACGATGTACCACTCTTGCTATCAGAAAGTCTAAGATATAGCGTGGCACGTTCCACATTGGATACACAACAAAACACTCCTATCATCACCATGTGGAGCTGCAGCATGGATGGATAAAAGTTTGTGGGTAACGTCCGTCATACCATGAGTTAAATGGGCACGTCTGGCTATTCGTTGCATGTAAGCAGCGACAGTTCTACATCGACAGTCGTCTCCGAATCGACTGCGTCCGACATTGATTTATGGAGGGCATGTTCGTCTCTAGCAACGACAACAGAACAGTTGCGAGCACCCCTCATTTCCAATCGTTCGACTTGTCTTCAGATGCGACGTTCAATGAACAGACGCCATTCGAGTCCACACGGATGATTCCAATTCGTCAGTTAGTACTCCGTTATCGTTCTTTGGTTGGTATTGTTCCATGACTTTCGCTGCAACATCTCGATCCAAAGTCATCGGGACCACCGCTGATTTTTCAGTGTGCAGTACGTGAAGCAAAGCGTATCATACCGCGACCACGACTCCGATACTACACGTCAATTCTGGCACTTTCGGCCGAAGACGACGTACCATGACCCTCAGTCCGGTTGTCTGCCTTCATTTCTCTCTTTCTTCCACCCCATTAATCTTTTCTCGGAAGCTGTATGACGAGCTCGTTTGGACAAATACGCAAATGTGCCGACTAGATGGTTGGACACCACACGCACATCCGAGAAGAAACGTTGACGTAAAAAAGAGCCAGCCGAGGCGTTGAAGAGTCACGGACATCATCGTCGTGCTTGCGTCTCAACGGGTCTATCCTCACATTCCGTTGACGACCCCATTGTTCACTGTACGTACGTAGCTTCTGTTGTATAGCCTTGATATCTGCTAGCAAGCATGATTTCTCCTCGCAACACCGACTACTTCGGCACGTTTCTCGTTCGTCCACGACAATGATCACCCGGCTGCCATCATACTGCAGTTTAGATACGGCGTTGCACGTTTCACATTCGAGACATAATATAGCACCGTTGTCGTCAGTGGCATGCATCAAATTCGAAACACAACATTACACTGTTGTCGTCAGAAGTCTAAGATATAGCGTGGCACGTTCCACATTGGATACACAACCTAACACTCCTATCATCACCATGTGGAGCTGCAGCATGGATGGATAAAAGTTTGTGGGTAAAGTCCGTCATACCATGAGTTAAATGGGCACGTCTGGCTGTTCGTTGCATGTAAGCAGCGACAGTTCTACATCGACAGTCGTCTCCGAATCGACTGCGTCCGACATTGATTTATGGAGGGCATGTTCGTCTCTAGCAACGACAACAGAACAGTTGCGAGCACCCCTCATTTCCAATCGTTCGACTTGTCTTCAGATGCGACGTTCAATGAACAGACGCCATTCGAGTCCACACGGATGATTCCAATTCGTCAGTTAGTACTCCGTTATCGTTCTTTGGTTGGTATTGTTCCATGACTTTCGCTGCAACATCTCGACACAAAGTCATCGGGACCACCGCTGATTTTTCAGTGTGCAGTACGTGAAGCAAAGCGTATCATACCGCGACCACGACTCCGATACTACACGTCAATTCTGGCACTTTCGGCCGAAGACGACGTACCATGACCCTCAATCCTCAATCCGGTTGTCTGCCTTCATTTCTCTCTTCCTTCCACCCCATTAATCTTTTCTCGGAAGCTGTATGACGAGCTCGTTTGGACAAACACGCAAATGTGCCGACTAGATGGTTGGACACCACACGCACATCCGAGAAGAAACATTGATGTAAAAAGAGCCAGCCGAGGCGTTGAAGAGTCACGAACATCATCGTCGTGCTTGCGTCTCAACGGGTTTATGCACAAGGCGCGGCTGTGAACTATTTTCTTTTTTTAACAAGATAGTAAGTGGAATAGGATCGTGCGTATCGACTGATCGTAAAGCCAATGACGTCCAGCGATTGTCCCATTCCGAACCATCTTAGAGACTATTCCACGTGACAATGGTAGATAATTGATTATCGATTGTCTTGGATGGATAAAATCATTCGCAGCTGGCCTATCTGAGTATTTCACGCGATAGTGCTATTTGTTTTGCAAAATAATTGCTAAGGATGGATTTCCCCTACTCAAGCCGTCATTCGAGACTATCCCACGCGATCACGCTATCCGTTTCGAAAAATGTTGGATGGTGGTACTCTGAAGATTTAACTCCAAATTGGACGATACGACAAGGAGCGCGACGAAGGATAAAAAAGACTACATGCCTGCAAAATCATCTGACTTGAGTACTCCAAATGAGAGACTTTGTAATGCTCCGTTCGCACACCTCCGTCGAGGGTGAAAGTACATGCGGAAGCTCCGACGGCCGCTCTTGCGTTGCCCGTTCTGTCCGTGTGAGCGAAGGCTCTACCTTCACAGTCACTAAAGCGTACGAAAGTTGTGTGCCTTCATACGCTAGGATATCATCCCCTGACATTGAATGTGACGGCAAGAGCGCTGTCTGGTAGGGATCAGAAGGTGCACGAAGGTACGAAATGACGGTGAATTCCGGTGACTTCACGACGTGAAGCACTCGATACAGTTGCTTGCAAGCTTGCTGACTCGTAAGGCTCACGAAATTGTCGTTCGCATCAACAGCACAATGCTCGACGACGTATGACTTAAGGACGTGTTTCATCAATCGCTGGGCCTTGTTGGCACCGCTCTCCCAGTCATAGTACCAGCGTGAAAACGGTTTGCCATTCAGGTGGAACACGAGCGAGATATGGTCTCCCGATGGCATCTCAGGAGCGCGAAGGGTGGTCACTAGTCCAGACGGACGATCGCGTGTACCAGCCACCCACTGACCCTCCAAGTTGTCTTCGGACTGCGTCCCAGCCACCATCGTGTCGACCTCGACACACTCGCTGGGTCGAAGGCTCACGTCGCTCACAGCTTCGAAGCGTGCAAAGACGGCTACGTTCTCACACTTTGGTGGCTCTTTCGATGCAGCAGATGGACAGGTCGATAACTCTATGCGCACACTCAAAGAAGTGCCGCAGTAACTGCGGTCGATGTGCTCAGGGCAGCAGTGCGGGAAGCATCTTCAGAATCAAGCAGAGCGAATGGCATTAGTCTCTCGATTTCTCTCATTCTTGATAGTTCGATTTACGCTAACGAAGCGTTGTCGTTTTACCTGAGGATTTTTAAACCCTTCGTGCGATTACTCCTACAGCGCAAAAGGTGATTCGAGTGGTTAGAGTCGACTTTGTTTTGATAATTTGTGGCTCCACTTAGTTACGACGCTACATGTGCACCGCAGTGAACGTCACCATTTACCTCTTGTACTCAGTCTGGAACAGCTGAGGATGGCTGCATTCCGGACGGAAGTAGGTCGTGGAAGACACTTCGAAAGGGAGGAGTGGGGGCGTCCCAGGCATGCTACTGTACTTTTAGATTGTGGTCTCGGGTGGTCTTTGTCTTTTTTATGAGCTTTTGTCCCCCGAGAAGGACAATACGCCTTTTAACTGTTGAGAATACGCCGCTTCGTGCAGTCGTTTCATGTTGGGTTCATGGTGATGATTTCTGTGTCAGGGTGTTTCATGGTGGTTATTACGGAAGAAGGTTATGGATCGCGGTTACATGATGAGATCACAGGATGTCGTTACATTAAGGCTTAGACTTAGCTAAGGGTAGTGAACTAAGGACCTTAAATATATTCACTTCGGCTTTTACATCCAACTACCCCAACATTAACGAAGAGTCCAAAACTGAAGTGCAATCTGCACCATCACTGATCCTGATGCCAGTGCAGCTGAATCCTAGGACAAATTGCTACCGCACAGGCTGACAAAGGTCGTTGTGTACACCACAACCAGACGATCTCGTGATTAGTCTGGACTGAAGGTAGTCAAAACGGGATCTCGCCGATGACTCACGTACCGGTCCTTTTCCACAAAGTGGACACTCCTCGAAAATGTCCACTTTGTCGCTGTCGAAGTCGTTGCAGCCGTCTACTCGAGCTCGTACTTCTGGTCTCGACGACACCAAGTGCACCAGATCATGCGTGCAAGAGATGTGGTGGACTGACCGCGCCCGTAGCGCACCATGCGAGGATTGCACATCAGCGTGTCAGCACGTGCTCGAACCCCGCTCACCTACAAGACGTCCACGTGGTGACAATCGGGATAGCGCACACGCACTACAGGCTCGCGTCGAGCAAAGTTGTAACCGAGCGGATCCTCGACGTGGACGAGGTCTGCTGACAGACCGGCCATCAAGCCATCAAGGCTGGCAATGATTGCTGTGCCAACCGTAGCACGTTTAATGTACAGAAAAAACGTTTCTGCCGGTAATTAACCATCACTATTTACGATCCACCAGCTCATTTCTCAGACACTGCGTCCAGCATCAGTCGTGAATACCTAATTAAGAACGTTGCATTCGCTCTCGATGCTGGGCGCAACATGACTGCTTGATCACCCTTTGAATTCTTTTTGTAGCAAAAGACCAAATCTCGGCGCATGTGCGTGTTTGGCCTGGACATAATCAAAGCTTGCTCGACATGCAGATGTGCGTAAATGTTAGAGATTTATGCCGCGCGGTCCTTCAGATCACCCTGGGGCGAACTGCGAGTACTGTGACTCAGTTTGAAATCCTTACAGGACCCACACCCCTCATTCTACTACGGAGCTTTTCACCCAGTAGGGCCTCCAGCCCACCCAGCTATCACACGCCTTGCGCGGGTTGGCAGGGCGGCCACTTCTGCGTGGTTGCTCGTCTACTCTATCGGCCTATATCCGGCGCCCTGTAATAGAACCCCCACCGGAAAGTGATCCAGGTACCCCCCGGTCCCAGTTCCAGTGGTCTACCACTCGGCCACTGGGGTCGGTCTGCGTATATGTTAGAGCACACGTCGCTTGCTTCATTTGCATAAAATGTCACATCTTGTCGCACCACCATGTTCTTCAGTTGTGTATATCCAGGCGACTAATCTTTACACGACCCGACGATTTTGTATGTTTATCTGTACATGTGTTTTTTTCAGATTATCATTTATTCGGGAGACTTAATAAACGGAAGTGTTTGCATAAAAAACGAAGTTTCTGCATTTCTACGCATGATTTGTAACAATTATACAGTAAAACCTGTCGAAAATAATACTTTCTTATCAATAATAGCACTAAAGTAATAATATCGTCCGTCCTAAGGTCGGCCTGTACAATAATCAAAAAATCTCTGTAGTTTATGTATTAATTGCATTCAAGGTCCCATACTTTTTTATTTGTTTTTCTTCAAGAAAGTGTTGGCACTGTAAAATGATGTGAAGTAATACTTAAACACGTCTATGGAAGTATCGTATGCCAGGCTGAACTATTCAATCTGTGCGGATCGCCCCGACTTTGCCCTTCATTTGCTGTAGCGACTTGATTAAAATTTGCGCGGTAAAATCCTGTTGCAGATAGAATGTCTCGAGCGGCTCAGTTGCCTTCGGAGCATCCGCGACGGCTATTTTAGACTGTTCCTGGCTGTTGACCTGCTCATCCTCAGGCTGAGTCAGAAGGTGGTCTTCAACGATGTAATCCACGTCCTGTATGTACTGTGTAGCCCGTTTAGCAGGATAATCGAGTAGGTTGCGGATATCCATCGGCTTAGTATGCTTGAAGCGTCCAATCTGATGTTTCACAACTCTGATCACTTCATTGTCAAGGCACTTCCCCAAGAGGACTGGTGGAGCATCAATTAGTTCGGACCGGATATGTCATTGCCGAAAGCATTTGTGGATAGTGTTGAGATGACACCTGCTAAAGCGGACGCCGCTCACTACATGTTAAAGACGGGAGTCTTGTCATCTACGGCAAGCATCATGGTAACGGACGTCGGTAACGGACGAAAAAAAATGGACGACAACAACGGACTTTAATAACGGACGACGGTAACGAACATGTACGCAGCAATTTCATGATTAAGGGAAATCAGGGTGGATGCATGAAGGCCTCGAGATAGCAAAAGTGAGCGAACTAAGAACTTAACATTTATTTTTACTTCGGAATTTGTCTCTTACTCAACAGGTTAACAGCCGCAACCCGCCATGGCCAGCAAGCACACCGAAGTCCTCTTAGGGGTGGTAACTATTACCTAAGGGAGTTTAACATGAGGATGGTCAATCGATAAAGGGCTGCTGGGGCACGTACTGGTTGCCAGGTACGAGAATGGCATTACGGATGCGTGGCTAATGAACTGCGCCAAGGCAATGTACATCATCGCCCAAGGCGTCGATATCCATCATCAGACCAAGATACGGTCCGTAAAGCGCAATATGGAGGCTTGAGGAATGATCCGCGACTTCTACAACCGCTCGACTCTATACAATCGAGTGACGATGACGCGCCGGCTTTACGAATCTACTATGGAGAGTGGTACAAGTGTGGCAGTACATCTGGACGCTTTTGAAGAGCTGGTTGTGGAACTACAACAAATTACTGGACAAAAGTCGATGAATCGCGGCAGCTGGTGGTCCTTCTGTCAGTCTTCCGTCAGAGTATGAGCTGATTTCATTGATCGTGAAGAATGTAAAGGAAACTAACCAAATTGAGGTAAAATAAAAAGCTTTTAAAGGAATCTGAAAGGTTAGACAAGAATGAGGCCACGGAAAAAGCGTTCCGCGTGATTAAAAATGCTCGAAAATTTAAACCAGAAAGGAACAACCGTCGAAAGGGTGGCCTATATCGCAATATGGGCGCTTCACGGGATAACGGCGGTTTCAAGGGAAAGAAATTCAACTGTGACCAGTGTGGCCACTTGAGACGAAATTGTCCAGCTAGGAGCCAGGATAGCAGCGGTTATGCAGTATTTGCAATTGGTGAAGAAAGAACAGCCGGATGGCTAATCTTTAGTGGTGCTACATCCCATATGACACCTCACAGAAAGGACTTGTTCGAATACAAGGGCCTAGAATTAAACCTCTACGTAACTATTGCAGACGACTAGAAGTTACTCATCGAAAGATACGGGACGATGAAGCTCACCGGCTTAAACGGGAAGGGCATTCGCATGGTTGAGGTTCTGTTTATTCCAGGGCTCGACAAAAGATTATTGTCAATTGGTAAATGGGCGGAACGTGGCATAAACGTGGAATTCTCGCGTTCATCGTCCATTATCTGGAACAGAGATCAAGATCTTGATACAGGGACAAGTAAAGGGAAACTCATTTGCTAAATTGGAACCAGAAAGAAGCAAGACTCGTTGATTTTTCCGAGAGTAACACATAGTGGGAGGTCTGGCACGCTCGAACCCAAGCAAGGACGCTTTTCTCAAGATACAGAGCTCGACCAAATACATCCCTCTAATCGAGAAATGACACAGATAGATTGTGTGCCAGTCTTTTGAAGGAAAAGCAGACAATCACAACATACCCCTCACATTTGATGACAAAAACTACACATTTGCTCGAGCGTGTGCACACAGATATCATGAAGCCAATGAAAATCTTCTCGAAGGGAGGTGCCGAGTGTGTTCTAACTTTTGTCGATGACTCCTCGAGGTATGTCAAATTTTTTCCAATCAAGAGCAAGCGCGAAGTGACTGAAAAGTATAAGGGGTTCAAGACTATGTACGGTAACCAATGCAATGTCCGTATGAAGTGTGTGCGCTCCGAAAATGGAACGGATTTCGTAAACAGGACCATGGCTAGCACCTGCCAACATAAAGATATCGAACACCAGCGCTATGTTCCGTACGGCCCTCAACAGAGCGGAGTGGCTGAGCGCATGAACAGGACTATCATGGAAAAGGCTCGCAATGTGCTTTATTACAAGAGCATGTCGACTGAATGGAGGGCAGAAGCTGTGAGCACAGCGGTGTATCTCATGAATCGCTCCATGAACACGGCTTAACCTACAATTACGCCGTACGAGTTGGTTTTTAAAATGAAGCCCGAAATGGAGTATTTGCGAGTGTTCGGATCGTAGGGTTACGGTCATTTGGACGATACAAAAAGGACGAAGCTGGAACCCAAGAGTTTCAAGTGCATGTTTCTCGGCTATGTAGATAATGTCAAGGGATACGGCGTATTTCATTTGAAGGATCGAACTTATTTGCTCTGTTAAGTTGGATGAGCGTGATGTTGACGGCATCTACGAATCACAAGACACGCATCCGACACCAGTCATTCAAATGACTAAGGGTAGTGATGACATGAATATCCAGCATCTCGAGAATCAGCAGCCTGATCTGGACGAACCGATGGAAGCTATCGAAGAACCAGCTTCAGACGTCGCAATGGATGATGTGGATTATGCGCCAAGCGTAGTGGTACCACCATTGCTGTCGATAGAGCGAACTGTTGAAAACAGACTGAAATCAGCAGACTAACAACCACAACCTCACGAGCAACAGGAAGATCGACTGGTGTTCCAACCTAAAAGCGGATCTTTTAAGGGGAAGATGTGATCCAATTTTGATGCTTGGAAACGGACAAGGAGACGAAGAGTCGAATCAAGGAAGTGACGTCCCACTTATTCCAAAGCGTGCTCGGGTTGACGAGGACAGTCTCATTGCGGAAGATGTTCTCGCGTACTCGGTGAGCATTGGTGAGGATAATGATCTACCAACATCATATGCTCAAGCAATGTCTGGTTACGATGCAGTCAAGTGGCGTAAAGCAATGGATACTGAGCTTCGTTCGCTAATCAGAACAATACATGGAAACCGAAGTCACAGGAAATATTGGTCGCACCATTGGATCCAGATGGGTCTTTACCAAATAAGCGTGATCAGAATGGCGATATCCTGCGTTACAAAGCAATGCTAGTCTGGAAAGGTTTCAAACAAAAATATGGTGTCGACTTCTTCGAGACAAGATCCCCAGTCACTAACATGAATTCGATACCACTGATCGAAGAAGTACTGGACGTAGTGAAGGTCTATGTGAACGCGGCGATTGAGGCCGCGGTGACCGAGATTGTAGACGATGGACGGTCCGCGATTCAAGGGGACTTGCTGACTGCGATCAAGTTCGATGACTCGATCTCTCCAAACCTCGCGTATCCAAGCGCGCTCGCACGTCTGGCCGCGCTGATAACATCTGATTTTAGTGCTCGTTCGTAGCGGCGCATGCAACGGCGCTCCTCGTCTGATAGCAGGTATCTGGATGAAAGGCTGCTTTATGCAGTATTACCAGGCTCTACCACTCCGCTTGCGTGCAACCGTCGACATCCCCCACGAGAGTGGACAAAGCATCAAACTCTGTTGGCGTCCTAAGGCAAGTCGCAGACCCGCTTGCTCAAATCAGTGATCCCACGATATCTTCTATCAACTATGTTTCGATCTACTAGTTGTGGGAGCGAAGTCTCCATGTTTTAGCGCGTCACGAAAGCTATCCAAGATTCTAAGTTTGAAAAGCGAACCCCGACAGGTGCACGCTACAAGCTGCATCGTCTGTCAAGGGAGAAAGGATTACCCTGCCTCTCTTGGGGAGACTCGTGCCCATGTTGTGTGAACAACTCTGCACGAGCACCTAAGGAGGCTTACCTCCTTACCAGCCCGTGGTGGCGCGTACGTGTCTCTACTGAGATGTACGAAGGGATTGACAACCTGAAATCCCTTTACGACCGTGCCGGGAAGACTTTCTCCGGCGGTCCTTCTGCGGCACAGGATGTGCCGCGTCGTACTGCTCGACCAGACCCAGTACGTCAACCATCAATTGGGAGCGGGGCTCCCAAGAATCCCAGGACGGGGGATAAGCCGGCGCCACCGGACGAGGTAACTCGTCCGACGTCCAGTTCACGTCGCGGTGGTTCAACAGCTGCTCAACTAGATAGCGCTGGCCACCGCGAGAGTCCTCTAATGGAGGTGGAGGAGGAGGAAAGACGCTCTCCACACGATCATGTGGATCGGTGTGTTCCCGAGAGCTTTTTTGATCGCGTAACGCAAGGGTTACGCGACGATCTCGAGCATGAGCGGAATAGGCGTCTCCAGATGGTGGACACTGCCTCGAAGCATCGAGCTGAGTTTGCCTTTGCTCAGCTTGAGAACGAGAGATCTCTGACATCTCTTCGTGACGAGCTAAGGGTAGCTCGTGGGATTGTTGATCGGTCTCGGGCTGAGATAACTGCTCTTCAGACCCTTGTTGATGCCCACCATCGGGAGCACAAGGCTCTCTGCGAGATGCTTGAGCGCAAGGGCGTTCTTCATCGGAAGAAGCAGCGTACTGATGGTACGGCTTAAGCCGACCAACGTAAAACGTGGGATGCGTTCGCATCTTACGTGGTAACCTCGATCGTGTATGCATTGCCTAGGCGGTGCAATACACGAAATGGGCCAATGTACTTGGGTAGTAGTTTACTGCTACCCAAGTTAGTCACTACATGTTTTGGTAGATTAACCGTAGACAGTAGGACTAAGTCACCTTTATTAAATAAAAGAGTGTTTGCCCTTCCATTCTTGTCAGCGTTTTGCTTTTGCTTATCCACCGCTTCGGCGATGGAGTCTTGCACAAAACGGACTACCGTTTCACGAGCCAGTATGAACTCATCTGATGACTCGTTAGCTTCAGTGTGCTGTGAGCGCACTGCAGCAACAACAACCTTTCTTCAGTGAGGGCTTCCCGCACTCTCACTGGGATCATTGTCTTCAGTGAGGGCTTCCGCACTCTCACTGGCATCATCTTCTTCGATATCGATGTTATCGATATCGGCATCAAACGCAATGACTTCTTCGTCAGAGCGTGATGAGCGTGAACCAAATCGGTTTTTGCTCGCGCGAGTCCCTCCCCCCTTAAACCAGAGTTACACTCTAGTAAGGTGGGTACACGCGGATGGCGCAAGCCATTCACGTAAAACGGTGTATGTGTCGTGGACGCATGCACCGAGTTGTTGATGGCAAACTCTACCATTGGCAAAAAACTCACTCCAACTCTTAAAGGAGTGTACGTATCCTCGAAGTATCTCTTCGAGGACACGGTTGGCACGTTCCGTCTGACCATCTGACTCTGGATGATCAGATGTTGACATCTTCAAGCGCGTTCCGAGTGATTTGAACACGGAACGCCAGAAATCAGCAGTGAATCGTGGATCTCTGTCTGATACGAGTTCACGGGGCAACCCATGAAGTCGGAAGATGGTGTCAATAAAGACACAAGCACAGCCACTTGCCGTGATTGTCTCTGGTACAGCCACAAGGTGTACCATTTTGCTGAATCTGTCAACAAATACGAGAATACCTGTATTCCCGCGTGCGTCTTTGGGTAACCTGAAGACGAAATCCATTGAGATGGATTCCCAGCACTCAGCCGGAACCGGTAGAGGCTGTAAAGGTGCACGCAGTGAAGGACTTGACTTCACTCGTTGGCAGACTTCGCATGCGCGAACATACTTTCGCACAAACTGATACTGGCGGGGCCAGTAAAAGTCTCGACTTACCGTGAGATATGTTTTCTCTCGGCCACGATGTCCTCCTATAGGAGCATCGTGATACTCGAACATGATCCGCAAACGCAGATCAGTATCATCTGGAATGACAACACGTGGTGTGTCACCAGAAACGGCTGTATAGTACAGTAAACCGTTACGAGTAGTGTATCGATCTGATGCAGATCGATACGCAGACGACAATCGTTTCAACGATTCTCGAGATGGTTGGGAGAGATGTGACAACAACTTCACTATCTCACCATCTTGGGCGTATGCCCGCCTCACATCATCATACAACGTTGTAGATGGAACTGAGGACGTCATAACCGCAACAGTGACTGTCTCACTGTTGGGTTTCGCGACTGTTTCAAAGTCGGGACGACGTGAGAGTGCATCAGCGACGACATTAAGTCGTCCTGGTTTGTACTCGACCGTAAAGTTGTATTCTGCAAAGAATGACAACCACCGCGCCATTCGTTGTGAAAGGTGCGGGCTGTTCACTGCCGTGCGTAAGGACGCATGGTCAGTGTAAACAACGAAGGGTCTATCTCCTAATAGATAGACTCTGAACTTCGCGAGTGCATACTTCATGGCAAGGAGTTCCTTGTCATGCACTGGATAGTTCCGCTCAGCTGGTTGCAGCTGACGCGACTGATAGCAGACGACGCGTTCAACGCCTTCAAGGTCGTACTGCATTAATGCACAGCCGATTGCGAAATCGCTGGCATCACAGACCACATGAAATGGCCTGTCCTGATCGGCTATTGCTAGGACTGGGGATTGTATCAAGCTCTGCTTGATACCCTCAAAGGAGCGTTGACATTCAGCGTTCCATAACCACCTCTCGTTCTTTTTCAACAAACGAGAGAGGTGTACAGTCATCTCGGCGTAATTGCGTGAATACTTATGCAAATACGCCGCTAGCCCAAGGAATTTTCGAAGACCTTTGACATCGACCGGCACAGGCCAGTCGGTGATCGCCTTGATCTTTTCGGGATCAGGACGTACACCGTTCTTACCAACGATGCACCCAAGAAGTGGTATTTCGCTTGCTGCAAATATACACTTCTTGAGGTTTGCATACAATTGATGCTTTCGCATGATTGTAAGAACTTGTCGGACGTGGTACCTGTGAACCTCAACGTCCGACTTTCCATCCATAGCTCGACTATGGATGAATACGTCATCGAAATAACTCGGCGCGAATTCTCGTATTGGTCTCAACAGATGTGATACACATCTGTTGAACGTGGCAGGGGCATTACTGAGCCCTTGTGGCATTACTAGCCATTCCCAGAGCATGCCGCTAGGCGTGCTAACTGCGGTATAGGGTATATCCTGTTCCCGCATTAGGATTTGATAGAAGCCATCCATCAAATCCATGGACGAAAAGATGGTACTCTTTGACATACCATCAATGATTACGTCCTTCCTCGGTATCGGCGTCTGAGCCGGTACCGTTGCAGCGTTCAATTTGTTGAACGCGTGCACTATCCGCCACCCTCCTGTTGCTTTTCGCACACAGAAGGTCGGAGAGCTATGTGGGGAAGTTGATTCCCTCACATGGCCTCGCTGCTAAACGATCGGCAAAGAACTTGTCGATCGCAAGTACTTGTTCACGAGGCAGTGGCCACTGCTTCATGACACAGTACTTCGAGCCTGGTTTAAGCTCGACTTCGTGTCGAATACCTTTATCCTTCGGTAATTCGCACGGAACAGTTTCAGGGAATACATCCTTGAATTCAACCAAATCCTCATAGAGAGGATTTTCCCTTGAGCGATTCCCATGATTGGGACTCATATCGCTCAATTCGTGTCTTTTCATCTAGGACACTCTCGTCCATAGATGAACTACTGAGAACTCTCTCGTTCTCAGTAAACACTGTTGCTGACCTTATGTCGGTTACACAGTCGTCGTCAGCGACGAGTATGCAGATCTGCTTGACTTTGCCACTACTCAGATCACGCAAGAACCTTTATGTTCGAGCGTTGGCAACTGAGTGATCTCCGAAGTTAACTTCGGAGGCGCAATCAGATCAAGTGTATAAGCGCCTACACTTGATCCGTTATTGACTATGACATTCAATGTCTCTGTCATTTCCTGGGGACTTATTCCCTCAGGCTTCGAAGGACTTATTCCTTCGTCTTCCCGGGGACTTATTCCCGCGGGTTTCGGGGAACTTATTTCCGCCGTATTTGTAATCTTGGGACTTATTCCCTTTACTTCCTCTAGCTGGGGTTGCGCAACCACAGCGAGATCCTCTACGAAAGACTCTCCAGTCGATCTAGGATTATCGTTTCGCTTAACCTGAGCGATCGATTGTTTCTCTTCTAGATGTTCCCCTCTAGGGATACATCTTTGTCCCAGTCCACCCGACTTATTCGAGTGGTGGACCTTCGGCGCAGCCTGTGTTTCCTCACAGCCGCCGGAACTTTGCTCCGAAGTGTAACCGTTTGGTACACTAAGGTTTTGTGCAGTCGTACTAACGACCGTACCACAAGTGAGGCCATCGCACTCACTCGTAGTACATCCACACGCTTGTGGACGCCTCCAAAAACGTTCATCAGATGGCCATCTGATGAACAAGCGGCAGGCATCGTTACTGTCCGATGTTGCCAGTTTACCCGTGGTTCGTACCTTCTGAGCCACGGTATTCCAAGGATGACATCAAATTTGTCATCCAAATCCAATACGATAAAGTCATCGTCATATTGGGTATCTTCTAGCGTATAGTGAATCTTCACTATACGCTTCATGACGGTTACGGATGCGCCTGTCGCAAGACGTACCGTCATCCTCGTAGGAGGTGTGTCACATTCACTGAATTTAAAGTGACCATCTTCTAGCGATTGGCGTCGCACAAAATTGTTGGACGCCCCACAATCGACTAGAGCTCGAAGGGACAACTTATTCGTCACTTCGAGTTTCAAGGTAATGAGTGAGATCTCATTACCTAGAGCAGCAACGCACAATGTCTGTGTGTTGGGAGCAACCTTCATCAAGAGGCCTACAAATTCTCTTGACGTTGCTGGATCAGCAGGGTGCTCCGCACCTACTGATCCTGTCCGTTTTTTGACGGTCCATCCCGTTGTTGCGTCTTTGCACCAACTGCGGACCCTCGTCCCTGCCCCTTTCTCATGGGTGGACGGTCACTACGCCCAGTGTCGCGAGACACTGGACGAGGGGCACTACACTCGTAAGCGTAGTGTCCTGTCTTCTGACATCTGTTGCATCTCTGCAACTTCTTGTAGCCTGTAGAGCGAACCTTCTCGCTCTCTACATAACAGAGTTCCATCGGCTCTGGACCTCCGTTGTCATATCGTCTCGGTTGACGATATGATGTCGAGCTGGCGCGAGCCTGTCTCAGACTGAAGTCTTCCTGCTCCGCAATGGAAATGGCTTGTTCTAGTGAATCTAGTTCAAGCCGGAACAGGTGAGTCTTGACGGGACCATCCGCAAGACCCTGCATGAACACCGAAACCAACGTGTGTTCATCCACCGGATTGGAACTTATACAACTCGTGAGATGTCGTATATGTTGAGCGTAAGCGTGCACATCACGCTTACCCTGCTTGAGCTTCAAGAGTTCGGTTCGAGCTCTGAACTCAGCTCTAGGCGGTTCAAACGTTTGTCTGAGCCGCGACTTGAAGACTTCCAACGACCCAAACGCATATGGGTCGTGCAGCTTGAGCCCCAGTGCCCAAGTCTTGGCACGTCCTGCCAGATTTGACTGGGCAAATGCAACTTGCATATCCCCGTCGTCGATGCGACGCGCCCTTATGGCGTCATCCACCTCGACGAACCATCTCAAGAGGGAGTCTTCTTCGACCCCCCTATACTTTGAGATGTCAATCTTCAAAGTCTCGGGTCGACGCGAGTGCATCGACCCGCCAGCAGCAGCTTGCTGCTGTCTCAACAGTTCAAACTGTTGAGCACCTTGTTCTCTCAACAACTCTGCTTGTTGAGAACCTTGTTGGTGAAGCAAGGCTACTTTCTCGCGTTCTGCGTCAAGTTCATTTTGAATGAACTTGGCGATAGTAGCATGTTGGGCATCTCTATTGAGAGCCTCTAGCATGACGCTAACAGCATGGATGCCCATGGTCGAACCCATTCGTTCAACCGCATCCCATTCGACATCGCTCAAATGGGAGTAGCCGTCACGCGTAGCGTGAAAGCTTTGGTCATCTTTCATCATCCAACATATTCATGTTGGATGTGAACGCGGTCCTTGGACGGACTACGAAGTGCTACCAGGTGTAACGGGGCACCCCTGAAGCTTGTACTGGTGACAGTACAAGCTACTTATTCTGATAACAGAATAAGGCGGTGCCTCGTAACTTCACGTACACTCGTACGTGCAGAGGAAGACGGTAAGAAGAAGCGAGTACTCGGTTAGAGTAAAAAGTAGAACTGTATTTATAATAGTTAATGTCTGCAATAAATCACTATTTATCTTCATCTAACTATGTCTAAATACAAATGTGTAAATCAGTTATCTGCTCACCACTCATTGCGTGCGTCTGTCGTGGCGCGTCTTCGTTGGTTGATATAATGGCCTATATCAACCAATTAGGAACTACTTGGAAGTGCTACAGGATATTGTCCTTATGACAATATTCTGAGAATATAACTCTTATAGTTATATTCTATTAACAATTTCTTATAAATTGTTATGTAACGATTCACCCAGTTACATACGGCGTATTTCATTTGAAGGATCGAACTTATTTGCTCTGTTAAGTTGGATGAGCGTGATGTTGACGGCATCTACGAATCACAAGACACGCATCCGACACCAGTCATTCAAATGACTAAGGGTAGTGATGACATGAATATCCAGCATCTCGAGAATCAGCAGCCTGATCTGGACGAACCGATGGAAGCTATCGAAGAACCAGCTTCAGACGTCGCAATGGATGATGTGGATTATGCGCCAAGCGTAGTGGTACCATCATTGCTGTCGATAGAGCGAACTGTTGAAAACAGACTGAAATCAGCAGACTAACAACCACAACCTCACGAGCAACAGGAAGATCGACTGGTGTTCCAACCTAAAGCGGATCTTTTAAGGGGAAGATGTGATCCAATTTTGATGCTTGGAAACGGACAAGGAGACGAAGAGTCGAATCAAGGAAGTGACGTCCCACTTATTCCAAAGCGTGCTCGGGTTGACGAGGACAGTCTCATTGCGGAAGATGTTCTCGCGTACTCGGTGAGCATTGGTGAGGATAATGATCTACCAACATCATATGCTCAAGCAATGTCTGGTTACGATGCAGTCAAGTGGCGTAAAGCAATGGATACTGAGCTTCGTTCGCTAATCAGAACAATACATGGAAACCGAAGTCACAGGGAAATATTGGTCGCACCATTGGATCCAGATGGGTCTTTACCAAATAAGCGTGATCAGAATGGCGATATCCTGCGTTACAAAGCAATGCTAGTCTGGAAAGGTTTCAAACAAAAATATGGTGTCGACTTCTTCGAGACAAGATCCCCAGTCACTAACATGAATTCGATACCACTGATCGAAGAAGTACTGGACGTAGTGAAGGTCTATGTGAACGCGGCGATTGAGGCCGCGGTGACCGAGATTGTAGACGATGGACGGTCCGCGATTCAAGGGGACTTGCTGACTGCGATCAAGTTCGATGACTCGATCTCTCCAAACCTCGCGTATCCAAGCGCGCTCGCACGTCTGGCCGCGCTGATAACATCTGATTTTAGTGCTCGTTCGTAGCGGCGCATGCAACGGCGCTCCTCGTCTGATAGCAGGTATCTGGATGAAAGGCTACTTTATGCAGTATTACCAGGCTCTACCACTCCGCTTGCGTGCAACCGTCGACATCCCCCACGAGAGTGGACAAAGCATCAAACTCTTTTGGCGTCCTAAGGCAAGTCGCAGACCCGCTTGCTCAAATCAGTGATCCCACGATATCTTCTATCAACTATGTTTCAATCTACTAGTTGTGGGAGAGAAGTCTCCATGTTTTAGCGCGTCACGAAAGCTATCCAAGATGCATCCAGCGATGCTTGAGTCACGGCGATTGTGACCGTGACGGGCTTGCCTCGTGTCGCTCTCCATCGCGGCCATAATCTGTACATCTCGTCGTCACTGCGTGCGCGTTGGATGCTAGCACAGTTGTAGAGCCCTCAAGCACGCAATGACTTGACAAAAGGAAGTCGAGTTGTGGTTGCGCCGCTTGTTAAAGTGCTTGGAGTGTTCGCGCGTTCACCATTGTCGCCTGCGACCTGGTCGAGGCGACGCATGTCCTTTATTGTCGGGGCCTGAAGATATGATGCTGTGAAGCTGTCAAGTCGAAGATGTTTTCACCATGACGTGCGCGATGCTGGAGAGATGGTTCGTTTCATTTCTTTTGGCTTGTTCTTTCGTGCTTAAGTACGATTTTGAGTGGGGTGGTGGTGTAACGAGGTGTTACTATTACACTACTTGTTAGCAAGTCATTTCTTACTAGTACACATTTCGGTATACCCTCCTGGCATATACACATACAAAGTAGGAATACACTGTAGCCGATTGTAGTGGCTACAGTGTGTCGTAGTTCTATTCTGCTGGTCAGTGGGTACGGACCCATTATCAGCCAATAGAATGCTACTTTAGTTGAATGGTCTCGTGGCTCAGAGACCACTCGCACTTAGGATGATTTAGGTTAGAACTTATAAATAAAAAATCAGAGTTGAAATTGATCTACAATCGACACAAGCTTGCAAGTGTGTCTCTTACGCTTCCTCGTAAGACCTTAGTGTAAGTAACGTAACGGGATCTAGTTCTGTCTACTATTTCTGTTACGTAACGCGCGACTAGACACATAGCAATGCGCGATGTGGCGATTACTAACGTACAGACTGAACGGAACCAGCAGGCTTAGACTAACACAAAAATTTTAAACTTAGGCCCTCATTTCCTTCACTTTATAATATACACTCCAGTGCAGAGCCTGAGTCTTCAGGCCTTCCTCCTAATTTTCTCATGAACAACTCAGGGTCACATCAACAATGCCTCTGAGAGGAGCTCGCCACACCACAATGACGGACGATGTCCGTGTGGCTCTTTTCGAACATCACGCCGACAATTTGGCACCAACTCAGACTAAGCTTGTCAACTGGCGACAGGACGACCATCAGCTGAGGGATAGCCAGGCAACAGCCTCTTACACGCTAAAGAGAAATGACGACCTTCTTCATCGGCTTCTAGAGGAAAGCAACTTGAGCTTCGAGCGTCAGAGTTCAGTCAAGCATCTGCAGATGTAACTGGCTTTGCTAGCTTGGTGCACTGCCCACCAGGATCGCATCAATTTTATCGGAGACATTTTCTGTGAGCAGCCGAGCGAATTTTGGGTATCCTCTAACCAGGACGTAAGCTATTCCATTTTCGAATGGATGGCTCAAATGCTTTGAAGACCGCAACAGAATACGCTCATATCGTCGCTTTCAAGAGACTGGAATTTTGTACAGGGTAGCTGTAAAGTACGCACTCCCTTTTCTACGGGAGTTCATTAATCAGTAAAATAATAAGGATATTTACAACATGGATATTACTGGCTGATATTATGGGATGCAGGTAAGTGCTTTGCAGTTGACATCAAGTCTTACTGTCTTAAATTGACCAATGTATCCTTTTTGTTTATGGATGACAATTAATTAACATCGCGGCAGCTGGAAAGAAGAAAGTAAGCAAAACAAGATACTGGTTTCCGTGGCTGTATTCTGCAACGATGATGGGTTAGACAAAATACCCCTGTGGACATTGACAAGTACGCCACTCCTCGCTGCTTACGCTATGCCAATCTTCAGAACCATTGCTATCAGTAATACAGAAGCAAGAAGGCCTATATGACAAAAATCATTTTCTTGAAAAGGCTGATGGCCTGTGATCGAATTAAGGCAAACCGCAAGGTGTTGCTGATACCGGACAGCTGCAGCACACACGTCTCGCTTGCTGATCTGCTCCAGCAAATAACACTTCGCAACACGACAACCCACTACCTTTCGCCCAACATGACATTAAAGTTCCAGATTTGTGACGAAGGAATCACGTAAAACCTCAAATCATACTACCGATGCAGCTTTAATTGTATTCTCCTTCAGGATCTCGGCAATGGTGTGGTTCAGCCAACAAAGATTGATATCCTTCATGCTATGTAGATGTCAGTCAAAGCATGGACTTACGATGTCTGCACTATGACTATTTGTTGACTAAAGGACAAATTTCAAAGTAAAAATATTTGTTAGGTTCTTAGTTCGCTCACTCATGCTACCTCTGGCCTTCATGCATCCACCCTGATTTATTATAATCATAAAACTACTGTTTACATGTTCGTCAACGTCGTCCGTTTTTATGGTTCGTTTTTTTCGTCCGTTACCGATGTCCGTTACCATGATGCTTGCCGTAGATGACAAGACTCCCGTCATGTCATCAGCCTTCTTTAACATGTATTGAGCGGCGTCCGCTTATACAGGTGTCATCTCAATGCTCCTCCTCGCCGCCGACACTTTGAGTTTGTGAGCGTCGACTTGGTCTTGATACCCGTCGCCTCGATCGTAAATAGTCGTTGCTGTATGTTCTCTCAAAGGAAGTGGTGTCTGATGTCCACATGCTCAGTCCGCGCGTGGTATCCGGCATTTTTAGCTAAAGCAATCGCTCCTTGGTTGTATTCCCATACTTGTGTGCCTACCACTTGTTCGCGACCCATGTCTTTGAGCACAGCATGTGTCCACATAACCTCTTGTGTGCGTAACATTATGTTATAATTTCCGCCTCCGCTAAGCTAAGTGCAACGGTTTGCTGGTACTTCGACTAATACACATCACTGGATCGCTCGCAATCATGATAATATATCCCGAGACCAAACGTATGTGATCAGTATTGCTACCCCAATCAGTATCCGAGTAAGCATTGACTGCAATGTTGCCACTGCCTCGGTAGATGATACTAGTTTTAAGAATTGTTGTCAGGTAGCGTAATACATAAATTGCCGCATTCTAATGTTACAGCCCGGGGTTCTTAAAAAATGATAGTTGCGTTACCACGTACGCGATGTCTGGGCGCGTACATGTCGTAATGTGCAGGAGACATCCGATCAAATAACAATATAGCTTTTACCGTATGACCGAGCAACCAGCACCTATATTCCTGAAAACGAAGCTGTTTTCAGCAAAAAAACAGCAATTGGCGCGCTATGCTCAAGCTGAGATGGGGACTCTTTTTCGCCGTGCGCAAAGAGGCATGGTCGGTAGTTAGTGCGAACATCTTCTCGCCAAGCAGGTTTAAGCGAAAATTGACGAGTGCACATCTCATAGCAAGCAACTCCTTATCATTAGCAGTATAATTGCGTTCCACCAGCTATGATTGGTGCGACTGATAGCTGATTACTCGTTCTGTGCCTTCGCTGTCATGTTGCATGAGAGCAATCTCAAAAGCGAAATCACTCGCATTGCATACCACATGAAATGGGTTAGAGTGATCAGGTAGTGTCAACACTGCCGCTGTAGAAAATCTTCTCTTGATCTCATCGAAAGCATCTTAGTGCTCCTTACATAACTTATACTTGGTCTTTCTTCAACAGTTGAGACAATGGGTGAATCACAGCAGCGAAGTCTTTGGCATAATGATGCAGGTTGTTGGCTAGACATAGCCATTGGTAAAAAAGTTTTGCCCTTATGAATGGCCTTGAACAGATCGAAGAGGTACTGCTACAGGTCAGCGCGAATGAGTTAGCGCTGACGTAGCTACCAAGCACCGGTATTATGGTGCACAAAAGATGTATTCTCCAGGTTGGCGTAAGCTTGTTATTACGCATCGCTTCAACAAAATCTACGAAGGTGTCCCAGGTGAACCGAGAGGTCGGTCGTACCGGCAGCGGCGCGACTATGCACAAGGATATCGTCAAAGTAGCTTGGAGCAAAGTCGAGAAATGGGCTCAACACATGCGACACCATTCTATAGAAGGTAACAGGGGCGTTGGCGAGACCCTGCGGCATCACGAACCATTATCAAAGCATGCCGTAAGGAGTGTTCACCAAGTGAAAGGAACCTCTTGAGGACGCATCAAGATCTAATAAGATCCGTCCGTACGGTTCAGCAAAGAGAAGATGGTACTTGTAGACTTGATATCGAGCACCAATTATTTGTGAGACATCAAAGTCTGGATTCGTCGCGTCGTTCAGCTTGTTGTAGTCGTGGACAATCCTCCATCCTCCTGTCCCTTTCCCGACACAGAAAGTGAGTCAGGAATTTGCTGGGTGCTTTCGCGCACGAGATCTTCCTTCTGACGCGCTTTAAAGGGGCTTATTGGTCCAAGTTGATCCCGTTGAAGTGGACATTGTCGTGTGAAACAAAACTTACATCTGGGCATGAGATTAAAATTGTGCCATACGCCGCGATTAGCCGGTAAACCGCTAGGATTTTTTAAAAAAAACCATGAAGATGGTGCGCTAGCGTAAGGGCTTGTATAATTGAAAGGGCGATCTCTGCCCATGATTGCGCCGCGAAGCGCTTATCGCGTGCCGACTTAGGCTCCATCCCTTCGTGGCGCTCGTGGTTGCCAAGAGCCGGGTCTCGAACGACAACACATAGTTGTTGGACATCCTGTCTATTCCCATAAGCAGCAATTCATTTCAAAAATGTTCAGGGAGCTGTGTGATTGTAGACGCGGAGGAAGGGGGATTGGCAACCGGGACAGTGTGGCTGGTGGATAAAATACCTGTCAGATTGGCAGCGTTGGTAGTCTCAACCGGGGAGGGTAAAGCAAGCTGAGCGAACCGGGGAGTATATCGAACCCGGGTCCGTCGTCGCTGAAGGCGTAGCTTCACTGAAGTTCGCGACGGTATCCGAAAGCCTATGCTTTGGCACAACGTCGGTATCGTCGAAATACACGGGAGACACTTCTCTCTCGTGACACAACGGAAGCCTCTCCTCCGGTGTGACTTGTATAATAGGCACGCGCGAAGAAGGCCTTTGCACCGTCGCGGTATATACACGCAGGGATTCGCCGCTCGAGCGTGACGCACCGACACCCTTTTCTTCGGTGCGTTTAAAAATATCCCGAACGCTTAAGATCCAATGCTCCTGCGTGACGCACCAAAATCAAGTTCTTCGGTGCAATGTTGGCTTTATTGTACGGAAGCTGTAGCTCGACCTTTGAAAGCCGAAGACCACTCGCTGTCTCGGCGTAGATTCTTGACTCAGGAACCACTGTCGATTGAAAAAGGAGCATGTCGCGGTGTTGTGTACCGCGAGCGAAGGGCCATCGCACGCCTCGCGGGTAATAAAGGTTGTGGAGATTTGATCCACGACAGCAACATGCTGTCAGGTGATCGTGGGGTCAGTAAGTAAAGCAAAGAACAGAGTTGACATCGATACTTCGGGGCTTAACAGTGCGGTTACGCCAATCGATGTCCGGAAGATGCTGTGTGAGCCACGGCATTATAAAGATGCAGTCAAATTATTTACTAAGTCGATGACTAGAAACTTGTCACAGCTTGCGAATCCATCGATCTGGTAGGCGATGGTAAACGACCGCTGTCGGTGCATCCTCGGCTTAACATCGGCATACGCGACGATCATCGTTCCTGTAGATTGAGGCGCGCATCGGGATGGGGAATATCTTTACACTTTCGGGGCGAACGAAGTTGTTCGTCGCGCCCGAGTCCAGCAGCGCTTGAAGCGGGAGTTGCACCGTCGATGTGCGCGCTCAGCACGATTTGTTGAATTTCGCTGCCGGACGTGGTTGCGCAAAGCTGAGCGTGAAGCGCAGAAAGGATAGAGGAACGTGTCACCACCTGTAGCACGTCCCTCCGTCTTCGCCCAGCAGGACGCCTCTCGCCTACTGGTTGCCCAGGTTTTTTTGTCTGTGAAGCCGCTTCATTAGAGGTGACAGACTCGGCGACAGCGAGCACAGGCATAGGCGCGCGGCATACCGCCACGCGGTCACCAGGTTTGCGACAGCGGAAACTAATAAGCTGACTCATCACCACGATTTTTCGAGTTTCGTGGCTTACAATACGTCGTGAGTAAGGGTCGCGCTCAAGCGAGTAGATTTCCATAGGCTTAGGCTCTTGAACAGCACGAAGGTCGAACGAATGTTTCGTGTGCGAGGCCATGACGCTAATGTCTTTACGTAACGCGATCGTGAACGCTTCTTCAAGTGACGACGGAGGCTTCCGAGCAAATAAAAACTCTGGTGACCAGCGTTCATACCCGTGACGAACACATGAATTTTAGTCACCGAATCAATTGTATCGGTGGCAATACACGATGCTAAGTGTCGAGCTCGTTGGATGTAAAGTAACATCGGTTGGCGACCTTGTTACCTTGAAATCGGGGAAGCACGCCGGATCAGCGACAAGATTGCCCAGTTTCCACCCTTCGCCTTTCCCGTCAACTTGGAGAGAAGTTAGTAAGGGCGCGAGAGCTCAGACATGAGTCGGCGAGATTGGATAGCAATTTTCACCTCGCAGATCCAGATATTAAGGGCGAGGCGCTTTGATCATTCACCGCTGTAGCTAGAGATGTCTAGCTTGATGACCTCTGACGTCCGGACGAACGAAGGGAGTTGAGGCTCGCCGACGCAAATCGTCGATCTCACGGTCGACAAAGCCTTAAATCGGGACACGCTAGAGGCGCTCCGGCGTGTCCTTCAACATGGCAACCGCAGCAATGATGCCAGCCACGGCTTCGAAGCGGCGCAGTGCTTCCCACTCGAATATGTTGAGGTGTTGGAAGTCGTCATGATCCAACATATCACCTGCAGTGCCCTGCATAGGGGCGCTCATCTACGTTGCTGGACGGAATACAAAGTGTTAACAGGTGTAACGAAACTAGATCCCATTACGTTACTTACACTAAGGTCTTACGAGGAAGCGTAAGAGACACACTTGCAAGCGTGTGTCGATTGTAGATCAATTTCAACTCTGATTTTTTATTTATAAGTTCTAACCTAAATCATCCTAAGTGCGAGTGGTCTCTGAGCCACGAGACCACTCAACTAAAGGTAGCATTCTATTGGCTGATAGTGGGTCCGTACCTACTGACCAGCAGAATAGAACTACGACACACTGTAGCCACTACAATCGGCTACAGTGCATTCCTACTATGTATGTGTATATGCCAGGAGGGTATACCAAAATGTGTACTAGCAAGAAATGACTTACTAACAAGTGGTGTAACAGTAACACCTCGTTACATCACTTATTTGTACAGTCGTACGTAATTTATTCTCTTCGTGAATTTTAAAACACATTGACATCTCTAAAGTGAGGGAAGTCACTGCCTGTCAGGACGGTGCTAATGAACCTCAAACACCAGGCCCGAAAGCTTGGCTTTCTTGTGTATAACTCACCGGTATCGAGCAAGTGACCTTTGGGTTGGCACTGCCATACCAAACCGGCTGAGCTACATAACTCTTCTCTAAATCAGGTTTACTTTCGTGTTAACAGTCCCCTAAATTTCTTTGAGGGAGTGCTAGAACATGCTCTTAATCAATGCCTGTATAAAATTATTAGGGAAGGTGGCACCAGTTAGGAGGTTTGTGCATTATCAATTTAGACCTGTACTACTGTAGTCTTAAATTTTGTATGGTAAATGAGTGCAATCGAATGGAAAACAATACGAATCTCAAAGACCAGTGACGCAATATAGAAGTAGAACAACTATTTTTCATACCACGTTATCTAGTTAGGATTACACATTTTCGTCAAATGCACTGGAGGACACAACGGTGACAAAGGCGCGGAAGTACACTTAGACAGCAAGGGTAATGGAAAGTTTTGTGGCACAAAAACTTTGCTCGAAAAATTGGACGGTTTATGGTCATGTCAGGTTCCAGGTCATTCGAGGGGGGGGTAAAGAAACGAGTGGCAACGGCGGCATCTGCGGGGGGGGTTGAAGGCCGGAATTCCTGCCGTCAGCGACGTGTCCATGGTCTAAAACGAAGAAGTGTTGGTCACGATCTGGAACGAAGGAGTCTTTTTCATGATCTGAAACGAAGGCAGCGGCATGTGGATTGTGCTCGCAAATGAACATTATTCGCCGGGATGCTCGGACTCGATGAATACACGAGAGGGACACCGGCACCGGTCGTGACCAGTGTCACGACAGTAACTGCATCTGATGCTACCAATACGCCGCGCCGATTTCTTGAAGCATGACATTAACGCTTCGTCGCTTTCTGGTGCAACATAATTCGATATTGCGTCTTTAGTTAAGGAAGGGTAGTAATATGCCTAAAACACTAGGGTCGAGAGTGTTCGTTGCACCATCATGGCACAGTATTTACTCCTTTGAAAATGCGCTATTCACACTGATTTTCTTGCTTCAATGTGGCTGCTGATGACGTGGACGCATAGTATGCCATGTCCCTCGAGAAGTATCCGGTGCAGCCGTCAAGATTCGACCGGTCAAGATCGAGAAACTGTTATTTTTTAAGATCACAAGAGCGTTTCGAGACATCTTCCGATGCAGCATCTCAAAAAAGTCTCGTTCGACAGGTTGGTGAACATATCCGACTTCTGCTTTTTCACTGATTCGCTAATTATCTTGAAGTTCAATTTACACCTCTAATAGTCTTTTCGTAGACATCAAGAAGTGTAATAATCGCAATGCTATAGCAGCTTCTGATGTTTTTATAGTGCGCACCTTCAAGTCGACTGATCATTGTGTGGCCACAGTACTGGACTTGTGCTGAACTATGAATATGTATAGCGCAAAAAAATTTGTTCTTAAATAGGTATGCAACAGTGTTGTTTTCCTAGACAACGACAATTTTTTTTAATATCATTTAACAAAATTTTATAAACAATTAAGTGTAAGACGATAAAATTCAAACGCAATCGTTGGTAGTCCCTGACATAGCTCCATAAAAATCACCTCTGCAGGGGCATAAACAACATCGTTCCATCAATCCTTAAATGCTTTCCAGCTTCATTATCGGTATCCAAAAAATTTGCGGCAGCAATTTTTTATACTATTCGCAAGATGAGAACTACTAATAATGGCGAATGAGCTACACCACTTCTAGTTAATAGCGTTTTCTAGACCAAGTTCGCAATCTACAAAGAGGATATTTGGCTGTTGCGAAAGAATTATGCTTATCTCGTTAATCATTCATCACAGTCGATGTAAGATTCCCCGTCCATTACTACCAAAGCTGCAGAAAATTCTGATACGTGCATGTAAAATCGTTGACTTGTAGTAGAGGAAAATTTAGGTGTTTGTCTTGTAAGTGCAGTTTATAATCAAACTTTGTGATGACGACAGATAATTTCCTTTGACAATTCGGGCTGCAAAAAGAAATGTCGAAATGTGACTTTTTTCGTCTTAAGCGACGATGGTTGTCACATTATGTTCCTTACATTGTTACATCAACGCCTCTGTGTGCGTTTCGCCGCTCAGTACTCTTTTTTAGCCTTCTGTACGATATAGTGGACATCGGTTTGTTAGACAAGAGCGTCCTCCTCTCGGAATTGATCAACAAAAATCGTCCAAAAAATTTATAATAGTTATAATCATAGTTCAATATTAAGAGACCAACTCAAACCCGTCGAGCAGCTCCATCTTGATGCATCCGAGCAACCTTGGTATCAATTCTCCCTTTTTATCGTAGCACGGCGAGTGTCAGATAAATCAGATAGAATCGATTTCGAATGCATTGGAGGTGTCTGTTCTGGCATCCACTTAATAAAATCGCTGACCATGCGCTGTCTTCTGATGCGCACGTGTTGCAAACGATTGCAAGATCATACAAGCAACCATATTTTTTTGATCCGCGGTTTTTCAGTGACACGGACCATTCGTGGGGTTTCTTGTAGTGCTTTCCTCGCACGGTCCGGAGGTTAATACGCTTGGTCTTGAACCCACTGCTGATGTACATACTTAATGTGAAGCCTTGGCTTACGGCTTAGTTTTTTATAGCTACTAGTGCAATCTTCTGACTGATCAATGGCCTGGCTGGTGGAAGTTCCTCACATAACTACGAATAGTTGCGGTTGCATCAGCATAATCATGAGCAAAATCTAGAGCTGCGCCATCAGAGGATATTGTAGATGGGATCGGTCTATTAATGGTGGTGATGGATGTCAATGCAAACTGAAAGGTAAACATGGCCTTACGCTTGCCCTTATTTAGCATACAAAAATGTGTTTTAATATCTAGCCGGTACAAAGTAAGCGTAGAAAAGCAGAAACTTGCGTGTTTAGGCAAACACTAATGTTGTATAGGTTTCCATTTTATTCAATCGCCATCCTTTGCGGGCTGAAATGTCCCACAAAAATGGTGGTTGTCTTTTCAATACTTTATAAGTGCGATGAGCGTGCAGTCATCTTATCCTTTCTTATCTACAGCTTTTAAAACACGTCGCATCTTGTGTAATTTACCCAGTCCAGTTTCTCCATCATCGATCAAGATCAAAATTACATGACAGAAGCCAGCTGTATGTCTACGTTTTCTTGTTTGCCTTTTAGCCGTACCGTAGCGTAAAAATGTGTTGTAACGCTTAACTACGATGGTATATGTACCCATAGCGGTGCACTTATGCCAGGAAATCGCAGTTAAGTTCGAAAACAAACAATGTAAGACTTTCTGCGAGCTTGTGAGCTAAGAATGTACAGACTATCTTAATGCAACCGTAAAATTGTGCTACGTAAAAAATTAAAAATCTACATTAGACTGTAGAAAATTCTTCCACGCATAAGCTAATGAATTAAATAAAGAGATCGATCTACGCACACCCACTATTTTTATAATTTACCATTCTCGCCAAAATACGTTTTGCTCTCCTTTAGCCTAACCTCATAATCGCATCCCTATAATCAAATCAGATACTACGCTTTTTTACTCATACTGATTTCTACTTAAACAGCAATATAAACGTTGCAGGTTAAGTCTCCGTTAATATTTGTAGTACGTATTCATATTGGGGTGGGCGTGGTGATATTAGTCACTCAAGAATTTTACAAAGGACACTTAAGCTCCTCCAACAAAGATGCGTTATACTAGCATCGACTTTGCCAACCCGAAGCTTGCTGGGTAAATGATAAGATCGATTTGAACTTCCTAGAGGAGATAGGGGTTAGTCGGAATTACCCCTGCGTAAGTGTAGTAGGGCTAGAGGGCACCTCTCGTCTCGAAAGATGTATGGACACGTTTGGCATGTATCTTGCGTTCAAGGGGGGGGCGAAAGAGAGAGATCGTATCTCGACAATTAATTACGCTGTCCTCGCTGAAATACGAGAAATTTACGCTGAAGCAATTTTCACAGCGGCTGGCAAACACCTGATCGAGAAAAGGCGGACGCTTAACACCTTTGTATGAAACGTGAGTCAGCCAATTTTATGAACGAGGTCCCAGATGCACAACGTTGGCTCTCAAGAAAAGATGGAGTACTAGTACCTCACTACGATTAGTGGTGCTGACTACAAAGATGCGTCCATTACTTTTTTCTTTGGTCTACCAAACAAGAGTGGAAAGCAGAACGTACTAAGTATCTTCGAACCGCTTCTGAGTCTGGAAAGACGCAAGTACTGGGTCGATGGGTGCATCTCTTCTCTCATGCTGATGGACAGCGTCACGTTTCTAACAAGAGGAGCATAATTTACGACTAGCTTGGTCTCGATTACGGCATCACGATTTGAAAAAGAGGATCATGCATTATTGATGGCTATGCTTTGATGACGACAGTAAAATTAAAACACTTTGGAACTCACAGATCTCCTCAAGCGGTAAAGTGTGAAGATTTCGTACACTTTTACGACTTTCTGAAGGCTCA